TTATATCTGATCCGTTTTCAAATGAATTAAGTATTACAGGTTTTCAAGAATATAGTTGATTGATGATTTTGAAGGGGAGGAAAGCCCTCCCCCACCCCATTTTAGCTCCCCCCAAATTGGGTGTTTTTGAAGGAGAACTAAATTTTTGGACCGTTATACTTTTATGTTTTTTTTTATATTTTATTGCTACCCATAAAATATATTATCATAATATTTATTTCAAATAAAAAATATATTATCCTAAGTAAAAAAATAAAAAAATAAATTATTATAATTAAAAAAATATATTGTAATAAAAATTAATTAAAAATGAAAACATTATTTCAATAAAAAATTCTAAGGTTATAGAATTAATTTTTTTTATAAATATATTATTTTATTAAATATATTTTAAAGCTAAAAAAAGCATAGCCTAAAGAGAATAAAATTTTATTTTTTTAAAGCATATAAAATTTGTTAATTTGATTATTTCAAATATATTATTATACTAATCAGAATAAAAAATTATTGTACCACTTTTTTAATGCACATATTAATACGATAAGATTGAAATTTTTATTAAATTATATAATTTTAATTAAGATATAAATTAATTTATATAATATATCAATAAAAAATATAATCTAATAAGTAATAATAAATTGGTAAATTGATTATTACTATTATTTCCCTCCTTCTTTTGAACCGAAAAAGCCTCTCATTTCTCCCCTACTCTCCCCTCAAACCAAATAGGCTTTTGAAGTTGTTTAAACTTATTTCACATACTTATCTCATATTTCATAAATTATAATTAAAAAATTATTTATAAATCATTTCAAACATGGCCTTAATTGCAAATTTGCAATATTTTTAGAGTTTATGTTCCATTAAAATTGCCTTGAAATTTTTGAGCTGAAAACTGCCTTGAAATTTGAGATTTTGCGTGCGTAATAATATCAAAATGTTACTTATAGAATAGACATGAGAACCAACTATTTTTATACACGAAAAAAAGATTCTCTTTGTAAGACTGTTTAACCCTTAAAATAAAAATACTCAATTATTATAATTAAGAATTCAATCCCTAACGTACTTTTTATTGTTGGCCCAAGAAAATTTTTTCCCCTGTACGTTTTTATACCATAAACAGCGATTCATAGAATGCTTTTTTTCAATCTTTTTATTTTAATTTAGGTAAAAAATCTTCTGATTTTAATTTCATTTAGAATTTTGTAACAAAGATTGAAAAATTAACCATGAATATCATCTAATATCTAGTGAATGAAATAAAATCAAGCGCGGTATACCATAAGGTGTCCGTGTGTGTACACTTTTTGCCAACTACCACACACACACATATAAAGTTATATATTCTCACTGTTCAATTAATTAACTTATTAATCAGCATCTGTCGGAACTGATTACAATCAGAAGCGGGTAATCCGGACAGCCTGTTTGGATAAATGAGAATCCATACGATAAAAAAATTATTATTATTTTAATTAAAGTTCACATTTATAAAATTTAAAACTTAAAATAAAACTTACATTTTGAACGTTGAAAATAAAGAAATTCACTCTAAAGTGTGCACAACTCTATTTTGGGCGAGGCAGAACATGAGCTTGAAAATTCGGCATTTACACTCTCATTTATTTATTATTTGTTTATTTTAAAGTATATGTTTTGGAGTTAATTCGAATGAATCGAATCATATTGTGAACAGCTGAGTGAAGATTCCTTCTTATTACTATAATCACAGAAGAAAAGAACAAAGGAATCTTAAATTCGATTTTGAATTTCGTCCTAAGGAATTTACTTGAATCAGTAAAGTATAATGTTTAGGGTGTTTGCTTTTAATCTCACGATGCTTCTATATTTTGAAATTTCCACTTTTATACATACAAATGTCATGTTTTTCCATTAATATCATCTCCTTTGTTTACCCATTAACGATGGTATAAAATATGACATCAAGCATAATAATACTTCTTCTGTAACTAACTCTATGCATGGGTGCCATTACTAATTCACAGAAATTAAAAAAATTAATTGAGTAAATAACTTGTAAAAAAGGTATGTGCTGGTTTTTTTTATAAAATATCAACCTATAATTAACACTATCTGTGATTATTAGAACAGAATTAAAAAATTATGAACTAAATTTCATATTAAAGATTGAAGTCAGTACAAACATGTGTGTGTAAGTTCATCTTTTGTAAAAATGCTTGAGTTGAGCTGCGCCATTTCGAGTCATATTCATAAATTGGACTTGCTGTAGATTTTATATATTTATCATATTTAATGCTTTTACCGTGATATGACGCGTGGAATATTAAACAAAGAAAAGGCATATATGCTATGTTTTGATTGTTTTCCAATCTCCCTTACATATAATCATTCATGGGACCTCGTTTGTAAAAAGTTAGTTGCTTGCGCTTAGTTCACATATTTGTTTGGTAAACTTAGAAACTTCCACGTTCCTTGATAAAAGTTTTTGGAGTTAATTTGTATCTTGACTTGGAAAAAAAAAGGCGTAAATAACATATGGATCTTCCAACATAATATGTTTAGTTAACTAAAGTTAAACTTTGTTTGGATAACAGTTAGGGAAACAGTGATGCTTTGAAAATTTTTAAGACAATAGTTAATCTAAAAAAATTTTAAACAAATTTTATTTTAGAATAAACTTACACCTTAACTCATAAAAATAAATATTGCTTTTTATTTTGTCAGCAATGATACTTTTTTATATTATTATTGATGAATAAAAACACATAAATATAATTTTGAATTATTAAATAATAAAATATATATCAGATATTATATACACTGTTTTTGGGAAAACAGAATCTAACACCAAACAAAGCTTTAAAAACGTGTGGGCGAAAGGAATAAAGCACAGAAGTGGTTAATTCATTTATTTTAAAAAGGGATATATACAAGATTGTCTTGTTCATTAATATTTTAGAGGATGTTTGGAAAAAAAATTAAACTATAATTTTAAAAAATAATTTTATAATATATGAAATAAATATGTGAAAAGAATTTTGTTTCGATTGGAGTAAAAATTATTTTTTTAAAAGTGTTTTTAGAAGAATCCAAACAAACATTTGGTGATAAAAAAATGGCCTGGAATATTTCGAGTGAGGTTTTTAACATATTAAAAATGTACTGCGGCCGGAATCTAAGATTTTTACGCAAAGACAGAGATCAAAGATGTTGGTTTTAAGAATATAGCCTTGGCTTGTGAAGCGTGTCTCCTCATTATCTAATTGGGGCGTTGAGAGAAGAGGGGGCCTGCAACAATATTAGGTGTTTGGCAACTTCCAAATCATGATTTTAGAAACACTTTTTTACAAAACGAGACAAATTCCTCCACATATTTACTTCGTAAACCGTAAAAGCACTTCTGAAAACATTGTTTGGTTTCTATCCAAATACCCTCTAGTCTAGTTTTTATGTATTATTATTCACGTATCTAATCCATTTTGATGTGTAGATTTTATGTTTCATGCTGGCAATTATATTATCTGAAATTGTCATGTAGTGCTATTTCTGATTATAATTATAAGATCTTATTTATAGTTTGTATATAAGGTTTTATAATTAAAACTGGAAGTGATAATCATATTATCATTTCGTGCAATATAAAGGCAAACGGGATGCTGGGGAAATTTTAAATTTTGTTTTTGCTTCCATGAAATGCTGCGTTTTCCCAAATTTCAGAGAAGAGAACGTATGAATTGCGTTTGAAAAATGTTAAGATTGGTCTCTTAATAAATACTGTTTCTTTAATTTTTCTTTTTTCCTCTAATTTTCCTTATAAATTTAGAGAATTTTGTCGGTATGCTTACCTCATTGCCTTGATCACAAATCTCTCCCTCTCTCTCTCTGTATTTTTTACAACTCAAAATATTCTCAATCAATTTCTATCAAGTTTAGAACGTAAAGTTAAAACCCTCCTAATAAATACACTTCTCATAATTCAAACTTATATTTTTAAAATGAGCTAACAGCTTTTTGGTAACAAAGAATTGTAAATTCAAATCTCACGTGAAAATCAATGATCATTTGACGTAGGATAAGTTGTAATCACCTAAAACTTTTTTTGGAAAAAAATTACCTCCTAACATAAAAGTGATCATAAGTTCAAACTCCCAAACTTAATTTAACCACCCCGTCGCCCAAAACTCCTTTTTTTAATAGCTGAAACTAAGAACTCTTTTTACTTTTTACCAAATATTGGTTGTTTGATGTCACATTTATAAGCATGCAAGTTAAGACAAAATCTTTTTTACATCCTCTCTTGTATAATCCTCCCTTGTATCTTATAAGTTATTATTAAAAAACTGTTTATAAATCATTTTAAACAAATCTATGCCTTATATTATAGTAAGTTTAACTGGAGCGTCATTGATAATATAGATGCTTGAAAATATACATATATATAAAGGCATGAGGTGAATAATACTACTTCCCAGTTCGGCTTCGCCGCTAGCCTGCTGGGTCCGTTCACTGTTCTCCTTCCCAGTTCCCATTCATCCTCTTTACTATTTATTTAGCTTGATTTACTTCTAGTTATCCGTTTTATTTTTTTTGGCCAACAAGTTATTTATTTCATTTATAGTATCTATCCCCTCTAATTATTATTTTTACTATTGATATGTATAATAACAGTGCTAATTACCATCCTGAATATCTACGTGTAACAATACAAAACAAAAATTTATGAAGATAATAATGTCATTGTATCCACCAACATCACAAGCATGCATAATTAATTATGATTATTATTTCCTTTTAAAACATCTAAATATCATTATATATTTATATAGGTGAAAGTTAATTATGAATAAAAAATTAATTATAAACTTAAAATCATGATCAAACTAGTCATCAATTTTTTTTACTGTAAAGATAAGATAATTTTAAACTTGTTTATAAAATTATGAAGTGGATAATTTCCGTTTCTTTCAGTAGAAATCATCTAACACTAAGCGTGCGGGGGCGAGAGTATGGCGAGATGTCGGATTTATTGTATTGTAAGTGGTTGTATTTACTGGTATTGTTTCTTCTTCTACCAGAAGTGGCTTCTGCCAAGCACTGACTCGGTGCTCGTGCTTTGTGTTCCACCGGCGATGGAAGAAATCTACGGAGTGCCTTTGTCGGCGGACTACTCTGATAAGGCCCTGATGACGCCGGAGAATCTCATATTCGCCGCTGATTATCATAGTTTTCTCCCGTCCTCCTCCGGCGGCTTCCGTGATCGGGACCCGATGTTCGGATCCGACGACTTGCTTTCTGCCATTACCGAAGCTGAGCCGCCGTCTTTTGGCCCTGAAGTTCAACCTGAAGACGATTCCTCCTCTCTCATCAAAGCTAAAATCGCTTCTCATCCCCGCTACCCTCGTCTGCTCCAAGCTTTCCTCGATTGTCAGAAGGTGATTTCATAATCTGCTGGGACTGAGATCATAAATATGCCCAGGGAATAGGCCAAGGCACCTAGATTCACTCTTTTTCTTTCATATCCAATCCTAAATGTTCTTCTCTTTGCTGATTTACTTTTTGAGTTTTTTTCCCTCTTCAGGCTTGTCAGCGTCATAGTTTCTTTTCTTTTTATTTAGTCGTTTCTCAATTCTAGAGATTAAGAAGTCATCATCAAGGTGAGAAAGGACTTCACTATCGCAAGTTTGAAACCAGGCCCTTTGATTCTCGTTTCTCTGGAACCCTATGCAGTCTTGGCTCTAGAATTGTTGAATCGTTCTTCAGAAGTTATTTTAACAAACTATCTATGCCATCATTCATTGCGACGTTGTGAAACGTTTTTGGCATGTGTGTCAGGTAGGAGCGCCTCCAGAAATAGCGTGTCTGTTAGACGAAATCCAGCGAGAAAACGATGTTTGTGAGCGAGAAGTTGTTTCCACGTGCGTCGGTGACGATCCCGAGCTCGACGAGTTCATGGTCCCCCCCTTCCTTCCTTCCTTTTTTTTTTTTAAAAAATTTTTTTGGTTTGCTCTCTCTCATATGCTCACGTCCACGCTCTATTTATAGCTCGACGAGGTCATCCTGGCTCTGGTTTTTCACTCAGTTTTGTCTGTGCGTGTGTTTACAGGAAACCTATTGCGATCTCCTGATAAAGTATAAATCTGACCTTTCCCGGCCTTTTGACGAAGCAACTACTTTCCTCAACGAGATCGAAATCCAGCTCAGTCATCTGTGCTCTGGTGCCTCCGTTCCAACCCTTTCTGGTCAGTCTCTTCGTCTCCTGTTAACTACTGGATGTTCTTTGTTATCTGTGTGCCAGCGTCGTCTTAAGTTGCATTTCATCTGGAGAAACATACTGGGGACTACTTTGAAATGTTCTGGTCCTTTTTGGATGAGAGAGAACCGGCGCGGAGCATTGTCTATATGATTGCTCTCTTGTTGATAGCATAAATATGGCCTCCGCAAAATTATTAATCTAACTAACAGCAAATATGTGGTCGCGATAACGGATGGCCTCAGGCTACATCGAACAATTGTAAAAGAAAAGAAAAAGAGAAAGAAAACCCTAAGAACTATTGCGTTTCTTGCTCTACTGCCATCTGCAGTTGATTTGTGACCTTTCCTTCCCGCTTTCACTATTAGCCCTCGTTTCATGTGTTTCTTTCTTCCGCCGTGGGAGAGAAACATGGATTGCTTGGTCATTTATTGGTCAACAGTGTTTTAATCTCTCACCTTACCAGTTCCTTCTCTATATTTGCCTCGAATCAAATCGTCTTGTTTGATTTGGTGGTAATTGTTTTCTCCACCTTTCCGCCCTTCTGTTCTGCCTTCTGGCTACTGAAATTGTATTTTTAACAATCAGTACATTTTTGTGCTTGGCTTTCTAATTTCGACATTGCTGAGTGGTGGCACAGACCGATAGACGGTGTTGACGACGTAGTTGTAATCTGCTCATATCTTGTTGGAACTTGGAACGATTGTTTCAGGAGCTTTTTGCATCTCACCTCTGCCCCCCTTCAAATGTTTTTCCCGTAGTATTCCTTTGGCTTTTGTCTTTAGATGTTATTCTCTCCTAGTCATCTGCCTAAAATCTGATGGAGTGGAACGACCAAGGCGGACTAGCGCCCTTAGCTCCGTGCTCATCAATAAGCAGTGATCTTACACCTCATGTTTTAGGAGATGCGCAGGTTTCATTTGGGAAGTCTTTTCTCTCTGACTCTTGGTTCCTATTATTGGAAGTCTTCTTCATCTAAATGATGCATGGCTTACCTTTGATTATGGAGATTATTGGGTGTGTTTTCAGTTTGATTTTAACAGCATAAAGTAATAAATAGTATTTTTTATGTTGTTATTTCGTCATTCCCAATGACTCCAAAGTCCCGGCTTTCCCATTTTATGCACTCATGTTGAGTACAAATAATGAATAAAAAAGTTAGTTGTTGATTAATATTTCAAAGAAGGTTCCTGAATACTTTTTGCTTTCATTTGGAGGTCGTTAAATTAAAACTGTTATGTGAAAGTCATATGTGTCAGACTTGAAGATTTGACATGGATTAGCTATTAATCAAATTGTTGAACATTTATATGACTCCTTATGGTAACTCCTCAACTTACCCATTTTGGATTAGATGAACACAATCAGATCTGACTGTAATGTCTTACAATGATGCATTCTCTTCCATACTTTATTAGTTATCGAGTTCCAATACAGCATAAGTGATGCATCCTGTTGTAATATAAAATGCCCCTTTGGAAATTGTACTCTAAAGGGTTGATAGTCTGTCTACATCTAAAGTATTGTTAATTTGTTGGGATAAATTGACACTAATATATATATGTATATATCTGTAGTTCGGTTTTCCTGTTTGGCACCATTATGCTCAAGAGTCATAATAACTATTGTGTGAACAATTTTTCTTGCTCTTGATGAATTGCCTATTTAACAGTTTGTTAGTTCTCTCTCCCATTCTAACTAATCACTGCCCACGTCTTCTGTGCATCAACTAGACTCTAGTAATTTGCTTTTGTTGTTGTTAATGTGCCTTGGATTTTTATCAGTTTCTATCTTCCTTTCTTCCGTTTATTTTTTGTGTGTTTTTTCTATACTAGAAAACCTGCTCTAGTATTGGCAGGGCTGGCAATTAAACAACTAATATTGTTTATTTGGAAGTACAGATTACCTTTCCAGTGTTGATGTTTATATTTCTAATAAATAACTAATATCGTTTATGTGAAGTATAGATTACTTTTTCAGTGATGTTTTAATTTTTTAAATGGTCTTTGGATTGCATGCTCTGATGGATTCCCCATAATCTCTCTTTTTGTAAACTTGCATGTTCCTCAAAGGCATGCTTGAAAAGCAATGGGAACAGCCTATCAAATAATAATTTTTTTTAGAAGAAAAACGATGGGTCTCTCGTACGTCCGTCTTTTTGTTTGAAATTTTCGTTTAGTGCAACCATTGCTGGCATCCAATTGGATCTTTTGTTTGTGATTAACTAGCATATTTTCGGCTGCTTGACTGGGCAGTTGATCAAACCGCCCATATTTAAATTATCGGTTTGTTTTTTGGTCTTCACCAAGGTCCGTTTATTGATCAATAGTGTAATATGCTGCTAGTTGATCAACGTGTTTGGATTGCTCATGTTTTTGTGATCTTACTGTCAAGTTTCAACCAAATCATAATTTTAAAAATAATTTTACAGCATACGAAGTAAATATAAAAATGTTTTTAAAGAGTATTTTTGATGCTATCCAAACATTTTTAGAAGACAATCGAGACTCTTTCATTTTACTGCTAGATGAAGACATTAGTGCTTGAAGTGTTGCAATATTTTCACTAACACAGGCTATATGACGACAAGTCTTAATACTATGTCAAATTATTACCGTGCGATATGGATCACATTTACTCACCGATGATGGAAGCAAATTTGTTTTGCTTGGGTAGTTTTTGCTTTGCACCTCCCAAATTGAAGTTAACGAGCGGAGATTATATTTTTTTCTGAATTAATTTTTGTTCTTATTATGGATTACTGATTGATGGTGTTGGGTCCTTCTTTAAATATAAACAAACATTTGATTTGTTCATGGGAATAATTTTTCTGGATTTACTTATTATTGTCATTGCTTTAAATGGATTAAACATTGTAGTTTAATTGTTTTATTTTTTGGGAGTGTATGAAAATAGTGAAAGTGTTGGGTAGAGAGGTGTCTTTTTGCGAGGCCTGGGGTTTTGGAGGCATGAAAGTTTGGAAATGGGGAAAGGAGGAAGTCACGAGAAACTTGATGTGGGGAGGCTATGATGCAGATAGAGGAAATAAATAAAGGGGTATGCAGGTAGAAAATCCCGAGCAGAGCGGGTGGTCTCTGATGGATCGCTGTATTAGTTATTGCCATCATTATCACCTTCACATGCAGTCACTGCTGTTGGTGCAGCTTTTCTTCAGATCCACACATCCTCTCTCCCTGCCACCTTCTTCTTCTTGGTTTAGTGCTTGTCCTCTGTTTTTTCCCCCTCCGGAGCTTCTCGAATATGTTTATTAATTAAAAAGAAGGAAAAAGGCTTGTGCGGGGGTATGACCAGTCTTATCTGCATCTCACAGATTTTCACACTTCTTACTATATATCCACTTACTCTGTTTCCTTCCTGGCCCCTAAATCTGCACTTGTTCTGAAGCAACTTTATTGGAGATCTTATCATCGTCTATTAAGATGGCCCCCCCCTCTTCTTTGACTACTTGCGTTATTACTTTTTGTCCACGTCACATCCCATCCAATTTTTTCTCCTCCTACTATATAGCTGAGTAACGTGTAAATCAGAAGGCAATTTGAAACCTTTTGTTTTTGGGTTGCCTTATGGTTCTGCATTGTTTCCCTATTCAAGAAACGAGGGGAGGTCTCTTCAGCTGGACTGAAGCTTGAGCTTCCTGGCGGGAACGTCTGCTTACTGTATTAAGTCTCTCTCTCTCCTCTCCTCTCCTCCTCTCTTCTCTGACTTGACAGATGACAATCGACGCAACCAGCCACTGACACTGATCTGTTTCTCATTTTCACTTTTTCTTTCTTTTCCAACACAGCTCTGCTCTTTGCAGTGTACCCCCCTCCCTCATGTGAGGGTCAAATCCTTGTCGGACATAATGCCTGTCAGACGCAACATCTCTCTGTGTATGCTCGTGGGCCTCTCTTCTAGCCCACTAACCCCCCTTTTTGTGTCCCTCTTTGGATTAAGCGACCCAGAAGCGAATTATTTCTCAATTTTCGTCATCCTTGCCTGTTTTGCAGCAGGAGGCTGCAGGGCCAACGTCTCTTGACTATTGAGTTTACTTGCGATTTCATATGTTGATTAGCTTCTAATCATATTATCATTCATAACAGAAGAGTAAGTTGTGTGTAGTGTTATGATTATGATTATTATTATTGGGTGGTTCTTTTGTGGGCAGATGATGGGGGCATCTCAGGAGAAGAAGATATAAGCGTGGGAGATGGTGAAGCACAAGACGGAGGGTTGCGGGGGGAAGATCGAGAGCTGAAGGATAGGCTTTTAAGTAAGTTTGGGGGTCGGATTAGGAGTTTGAAATTGGAGTTCTCGAAGAAGAAGAAGAAGGGCAAGCTTCCCAAGGAAGCCAGGCAAACGCTTCTTGACTGGTGGAATGTTCATTACAAATGGCCTTACCCTGCGGTAATTCTTCCCTCCCAACTTGCTTCCAAATATGCCTTCATTGCTTTGAGGAGCATATTTTAGTTTACTTTCTATGAACAGCTTCGTGATTAATTCTTTTAGGAATAAAATAATTAACTTATTTTACCCAAAAATTTAACTGAAAAAAATCAGTACATTAAGTAATATTTTACAGGTTTTATTTTATCAAAGTCTAATAATCGGCTAATCCTTTTATAAATTGTTACCGCTGTTGCTTAGTTTTTTGGTTGAAGTGTGGATTACCTACATTCCCACAAGAAAATGTCATGACGCATTCACAAAGAAAGAGAAAGAAGAGCATATGCATGTGAAGATAAAATTCGAGTTTCATTTACAAGAATATCTTTTGGGGTAATTTTTTTTAATAAAAAATGCAAATGCACAAATGCGAAGGATTTACCGTTGGCCAAAAAAAAAAGGGAAAAAAGAAGAAGAAGAGAAGTTCAATTGTTTCTTCCGGAATGCAATAGTTTCTGCCCTCCAAATTGTGGACTCTTTCCCGCCATTTTACAACGGTACATAATGGGCCTTAATTTCACTGTATGGGCCCAATTGTAAAGGATACGTTTCGGTGGCTCTCTGTGAACTTGATGTGGGACTCCTTGAGGACCAAAAATAATGCTTGCCTCTTAGGCTTGTGGTTTGAAACTTTGTTATTATTATTATTATATTCATAGCCTGGAAAGAGGATGACTTTTTTTTTTTTTTGGGGAGGGAATATTTTTGCATCTTTTGAATAAAAATTAGAGAAATCTGTTAAATTGCCATAAGAAAGAGAGTAATTGGTATTGAATGTGTGGGAAATGGTGAACAATGCAGGAAGCTGACAAGATAGCACTGGCAAAGTCGACGGGACTTGATCAGAAGCAAATTAACAATTGGTTTATTAACCAAAGGAAACGTCACTGGAAACCGTCGGAGAATCTGCAATTCTCTGTTACGGATACTCTAACTGGAGACTTCTACTCCGATCATCATCATCATGTATGAGCAAGAACTAAGTAACACCAAGCCAAGTCCTGGCCTCATTCATGTACATTAACCTTTAAATTGTATATCTTATGCTAATTGCTAAACTCTTGGCTTCCATTTCCTCTTGTAAATTCTAAAAAGTACAAGCCTTGCACAACTTAAATTTCCCGTAAAGATTGGGAAATGCATCATTATAACCTGCTTCCTCTGTAATTTTTATGAATAACTTCGGATCAGTCTGGGTCTGCCTTGCCCACTTTCTCCTGCAATGGTGATTGATTATGCATTTTTTTAGTGATCGCGTACATATAGCCAAATAAGTATGTTAACGCGGGACAAAGTGTATTCAAATTGTGTGCATATATTTGACCAAAAATAGTTGTGTGCATACATATATTTATTTAAACGAGGGAAAATTACTGTAGAGTCCCACAGAAGACAATTTACTACCAGAAGGTCCCATGAAATCTCCAAATTCCTGATAAGTCCCCAGGGACCTCTGGGTAAATAATTTGAGTTGTGATATTACGTACTTGCCCTCAGTCATTGATAAAGGAAAGAAAAGAGGGAGAGACGCTGATTGGCTTCATTTAGTGCGGTTGTTTGTTATGCATGCACAAGGAAGAGAAGCTTCTGAAAGAAAGAAGGGAGTTATGCGCTGGTACTCCATCGCAGGCAAGCGACATTATTTCTTCATCTTCTTGGTACGTCTCATCATTAACAACATTTCTCTTCTTCTGTACACAACCAGTGTCAAGTTTAATGTTGGTCTGAAAAGTTGATTGTGTGTTGATATGTGGGTATTAAAGATGTGATTCAACTCACTAGAAATATTAAGGGAGGCTCATTTTAGTCATATGTGGTTTTAATCATGTTAGGTGTGGTTTTACTATGTGTGGCTAGGGTTAGAAAGCAATGCTCTGTTTTTCGGTGAATGAGGCTCTGTTTTTCGGTCACTGATGCTGTGTTGCTGATGAAGATGAGTGGAAAATAACAGATATTTATTATTGTAACCCCTCAAATGCGATGGTTAAATGTGTTGTTAATGGGTACATCGAAGGTTGTTAACATAACTGTATGACTTGTTATTAACAACCAGTCGCAGCTTTAATGCTGGTCTGAAAAGTTGATTGGGTGTTTATACGTTGGTATTAAGCATGTGATTAAGCTCTCTAGAAATATCAAGGGAGGCTCATTTTAGTCATATGTGGTTTTAATCATGTTAGGTGTGGTTTTACTATGTGTGGCTATGGTTAGAAAGCAATGCTCTGTTTTTCGGTGAATGATGCTCTGTTTTTCGGGCAATGATGCTGTGTTGCTGATGGAAATGAGTGGAAAATGACAGATATTTATTATTGTAACCCCTCAAATGCGATGGTTAAATGTGTTGTTAATGGGTACATCGAAGGTTGTTAACATAACTGTATGACTTGTTATTAACAAGTGATTGTGGCAGGTTGATATCCAGGATGGCAACTTCCAGTGCAAAGCAATTGTTTTGCTACCTCCATATAGGAGGACAATTTATTAATGGTGTAGAAGGTGAAACGCAGTATGTTGGAGGTGGTGTGAGAACAAGAATGATAAAGGAAGGGACATCATATGGAGAATTTAGAACAATGGTGGCATCAATTGTGGGAAAAGAAAGTAATGGAATGGTTATGAAATTCACAGTAACCTTTGATGAGTGTACATTTGTGGACCTTGTAGATGATGAAGGAGTAGAACATTTGATTAACTTCAATGGCGACAGTGGTCATGTATATATAGGAGAAAATGGAGATCAAAATTCACAACTAACAAGGGATGTTGTAATAGAAGAGCAACATGTGTAAGTTGTGTTATTTAAATTTCGAAGTAATATTAGCTATTGTCAACTGTTGTGCATAAGTTGTTATTATAGTGATCGAAGGTTGTCATTAACGACCCCTTGACCTGTTCTGTTATGTAGGATGGAAGACTTGTTCGGAGGTTCAGATACATTGTCCATGTCTCCACCTAATGTGGTTAGTGAAGACCCACTATTGTTGCCATGTGGTTCAGAAATGATGCCAACCCCAATTCCGGAAATGAATTCAATAAAGTGGAAGGGTTTGGTTATCGGAGAAGGACAGATTTTTCCTAATGCAGTGGCTCTTAGGCAAGCACTGTATAGGTACAGTATTGCTGTGAAGTTTTCATACAAGTTTGTGAAGAACAATCAACAAAAGATCATTGTGAAGTGTATGGCGGAGGGATGCCCGTGGTATATGGGTGCATACTCAATGGGACAAAGACAAGATTCTGAGTTGTTAATAATTAGAACCTTAAGAAGTGAGCATGTGCATTATGCACAGGACAGCTTGGTTGTATCTCACTCTAGAGGGTCAAACTTAACATCATCAATCATGATAGATTCTTTGAGGTGTAATATAGACAAGAATGCTAATGAACTTAGAAGAGATCTGTATAGAGAATATGGGGTGCGACTGAATTATAGTCAAGCATACAGGGGTAGAGAAAGAGCATTGAGGGAAATACATGGTCGTGCACAGGATTCATACATGGCGATTCCCTGGATTTGTCAAAGGCTCATTGAAACTGATCCAAACACAAGTGCTCGATGGGAAGGGTTGGATAGTAACAGATTTCAGAGGGTGTTCATTGCTTATGGATGCTCAATTAATGGATTTTTAGAAGGGTGTCGACATATACTTTATATAGACGGCTGTCATCTAAGTGGTCCTTACAGGGGGACATTGATTTCAGCTAATGCATATGATGCAGACAATGAACTATTTCCATTAGCATATGCTATAGTTAGTGGGGAGACATATGATGATTGGGCTTGGTTTCTCCAGAACATCAAAGACATCACAAGATCAGTGGAGACAACGATAGTTTCAGATCGGAATAATGCCATTATAGGTGCTGTGCGAACAATATTTGGTGGCGAGAGACATGCTTTTTGTTATAGGCATGTGAAAGAAAATTTTAGTGCACATTATTTAAAAATTAACCGAGGCAGGGGACGAGTTTCAGGTACTTCAAAGGACGTTGCATTGAAAATGCTGGATGGAATCGCCTATGCAAGGATTGAGGATGAATATGTTGCTGCAATGGGGAAACTTAGATCATTCTGTCCACAATTGGCTGATTGGGTTGACACTCAAGGAGATGTAGATCGGTGGGCTTTAAGCAAATTCCCGTTTAAGCGATGGGATAACATCACTACTAATGTTGCGGAGTCGTTTAATGCCTGGATTTTGAAGGAGAGGAAGCACAATGTGTCAGTTCTCATACATGAGCATATGGAGAAATTAGCCAAGAAGATGGTTGCAAGCAAAATGGCAATGGAAAATTGGACAAATGGCGTTGGGCCAAATATTGAGTCCAAGTTGCAAGAAAAAGTAGCAAGAGCGGAGAATATGCATACTGTATATTATGGAGATAACCGAGTTCAAGTTGATACTACATCTCCTACTGGAATAATTTGTGTCACTGTTGATCTCACAGCTCAGAAATGCACTTGTTTAGCATGGCAAATGAGCGGAGTACCTTGTGCTCATGCCTGTGCAGCGATAAAGCTACTTCATGGTAGTGTTTATGAATTTGTAGATGATTGCTATAAGCTGTCAGCCCAAGAGAAGATATATGCAAGTAGTATGAGGCCAATTGCGACACATGATTGTCCTCGTCCCGAAGCTCTCACCGTTACGCAGATGATGACGGGAACATTTTTACAGCCACCAATCACTAAAAGACCCTCAGGGAGGCCAAAGAAAAGAAGGATTGAATCTCAATTTCAAAGTAAAAAACTTTACCACTGTGGAAGATGCCATGAGCCAGGCCACACTGTGAAGACTTGCCAGAACCCCAATCCAAGTTGAGCTTTGCTGGTGGCTTGTTGATATTTCGTTTTGTGAATGCTTGTGACAGCATTTTTTTTGTAAATGTCATAACCTACACCTCAAGTTGTCCGTCATTATCCACACATGCAACACGTATGCTTTTTTGAATAGGTTGTAAATTTGGTGTAGTTATGTTGTACATATATATATCAAGTGGTAAATGACACCTGGTTGTAATCTGATATAACATCATTTCTGTATTTTTGATGTACTGGTGAATAGGTTGTAATGGACTTGTTATCAGACGCCATGCAGGTTGTCATTAGCAGTCTCAATTATGTTACTGATATAAAGTGACAATTTCTCCTACTTCCAGTGTTCAGTGATTTCTTAAGACATTCGAGCTGTGTTAAAGTCATAATATGATATGATTTGGTTAGAATTAGATCTCATGTGGAGGTTGTGGTATCCCCAGCGTCAGTTGTCAGGGGCAATGCGAAGGTTGTTAACCAATTCTGTTCGGGTTGTCAACAATCCCTGTTGAGGTTGTAAATGAATTGCTGGAATAAAAATCTGCTGTAATATGATTTGGTTCTTTTAAAGCTGTTAATGACTTTAAAATGCTCCCAATTTTTGCTATTAAGGTCGTTATATGTGCTCATAATATAATTAAGTTAACAGCTGTGTTATACCCCGACTGAGTTGTTAACCAATTCTGTTCGGGTTGTCAACAATCCCTTTTGAGGTTGTGAACAACCCCTGTTGAGGTTGTAAACAGATGTGGCAGAGAGGACTCTGATATATGCCTATGATGTCACCGTGGGTACCATTTGTTTATCCAGTCTTATTCAGTCTGCATTTGTGGCCATGATGAAAACACATGAATGCCTTTACAAAAACTTGATAACCAGTAAAGGATATCAAAACACATTAACATATCTTAACATCCAGGATTCATACATGCTCAAAGAAAAGAATAAAATGTAAACTTGACGTTCACATGTCACTATGCTGTCAAATAAATAAATGTAAATACAATATATGCTTGTCATTTATTTCTTCCTCTTGCTTTGGGGGTTTCCTCGCAGCAAAGATAGCACTTCATCGCCATGCAGGTTGTTCCGATGAGTCACGAGCCACCACAAGCATCCAACCTTCAAGTCATGGATTTCTTCAGGGGAGTACTTAGGCATTGTGTAGCCGTCATCACCATACTCAGTGCCGTCCCATGTTTGTAACCAGCTCAACACATGCACCCCACAAGAGTCCCTACAAAGGAAAAACAAGTACTTTAGTGAATGAACATTAGCTCCCAAAAGTTGAGACACAAGTACTTGTTGTGTTGAAAAATAACTCACGTGTCAGATTGCACATGAACTTTTGCCCATGTGACTTCCTCGTCAATCTTGTCCTCCTCCGCAAACAGTGATGGCTTCAGCACACGAAGCACTTGGCAGAAACAATCTCTCTGCAAAAAAGGGACAAACAGAAGAAACAAGTTTGACAGTTGTGAATGACAAGTTATCAGGAAGCATTAACAACCTTCGCTGTAGCGAATGACAAGTAATCAGCAGGCATTAACAACCAGGACAGTTAAGCAGACAAGCAACCATAACGCATTAACAAGTTATAGAATGAATGTAAAGTTGTGCATACAATCCCTCTCGCCATGAATTGCTTAGGATCTATCTGTCCTCTCTTCTTCCCTTGCTTCCTTTGTGGTTTCTTCCCTGTTTTCATTGCTTCTTCTTCCTCTCTTTGTAATCTCAACATCGTCAAATTGTCCACCAACGAGTCAAGGGCATAGAAACGCATGGTTCTTACATCCATCACGTAACAGAACCAATGGTAATTGAAAAGGGTGGGGCCAAATATGAAGTCACAGTCTCCAATGTTATATCCTATGTGCTCCGGTAAGATTTCATGTTCATGTTTTTCCATGCTCCACCTAAGAGGATTAGCGGCCATTGTTTGCATTAACTCGGGTGTAAAAATGTGCCTACTGACACGACTGTGGTTCTCTTTTTCATCTCCCACCAAGGTTCTCGCCACCATAGACATGAACTATATCACACATACAAACAGTTAGTCATGATCATAATGACATTCGCAGTTCTCTATCTATATAAACAACTGTCTTACCCTGTCGTTCATCCATTTCCTGTCTTGTAGGCAGCAAAGCTCAGCACGTGTCAAGAAGTACCCATACATCTCTACAATGTACCTGCAGCAAAAGGAACAATGAGCACAAGGGTTGTATGTGTAAAATTGTTGTCAATCAGTTGTCCCAATTACAATCAGTCCCAACACTTACTTGGCACCTTCATCTTGATCACATCTTCTCGTGCACATCTGGAATAATTCCTCTTTCTCGTCAGCTTTTCTCTTGCCACGGCCTTTTTTCACCTCCTCTAACCAGGGAGATTTGATTGCACGGCTTCTCACCCGTGTTGATCTTCTTACATCCATTTGCCCTTGTGCTTGCTGGTCCATTTCATCCTTTTCCTCCATTTCATCGCCTACACCCTTATCCTCTTCTGCTGCTGCATCACTAGACTTGTCTTGTGTTTTTTCTTCTCCATCATCCTCTGATCCAGAGTGACTCCCTTCTCCTTTCTCCTCAGGTTGAGATTGACTCTCTTCTTCACGCGAAGCACTTTTGCCCTCTTCTTTATCATCTCCTTCTGGTTCACTCTGTTGTTCCTCTTGTGACAGAATTGAATCTTTTGGGCTTCCTTTACCTTCTTCACCGGTTTCTTCATCTTCAGTTGCCTTCTCTTTGTCATCTTCGCTACTTACTGCTTCCACCACATCTTCCTTGTCAATCTCATCCGTCAACCTCAACTGCAGGGAAACCAACTCTTCTCCAATTGTCGACACCAACCCTTCAACCATGGTCATCAACCTTTCATACGTTCTCTTGATTTCCTGCAAAACAACAGTAATGAAAGTTATCATTACTCCAAATTCTACACAGCACCAAAATAAGCTTCACATGATTTACTTACAGGGTGAGTTAGCTTTATTCCTGTGTTGGATGCACTTGTTGAAGCCCCACCGACACTCGGAACGCCATGCAGTATGCCTCTGTCGCTATTCTTTTCTGATTTCACTCTTGCCTTCACTTTTTCCTCATCCCAATAAGTAATGGCATTTTCATTTTTTGCCGCCTTTTCTTTTCCGAGAGGAAAGTGTTGTAGGCAATAAATCTGCATGTGAAGTTAATGATAACTTAGATATACAACAACATCATCCAAACAGGCCACTGACAACATAAACAGCGGAAAATCACAACCTACACACTGCCCAATAACAACATACACAGTGACCAATCACAACCTACACACTGCCCAATAACAACATACACTGTGACCAATCACAACCTACACATAAGCCTGTCACAACATACATTTACGCCATGCACAACATGTACAGCATCCAGTGACAACCCATACTCAACAGAATGACAACACGAACAGACTGCAATTACAACCTATACATAACCAGGTGACAAACCAACACATCCTAATGACAACCTGCACACAGGACAATAACAACCTCTACACCAGCCAGTCACAACATATCCATAACCAGTTCACAGCGTACATTTCTCCAACTGACGACATAGAGTAGTAAATAACAACATACACAGTGACCAATCACAACCTACACATAACCCTGTCACAACATACATTTGCGCCATTCACAACATGTACAGCATCCAGTGACAACCCATACTCAACAGAATGACAACACGAACAGAATGCAATTACAACCTATACATAACCAGGTGACAAACCAACACATCCTAATGACAACCTGCACACAGACAATAACAACCTCTACACTTCGCAGTCACAACATATCCATAACCAGTTCACAGCGTACATTTCTCCAACTGACGACATAGAGTAGTAAATAACAACATACACAGTGACCAATCACAACCTACACATAACCCTGTCACAACATACATTTGCGGCATTCACAACATGTACAGCATCCAGTGACAACCCATACTCAACAGAATGACAACACGAACAGAATGCAATTACAACCTATACATAACCAGGTGACAAACCAACACATCCTAATGACAACCTGCACACAAGACAATAACAACCTCTACACTTCCAGTCACAACATATCCATAACCAGTTCACAGCGTACATTTCTCCAACTGACGACATAGAGTAGTAAATAACAACATACACAGTGACCAATCACAACCTACACATAACCCTGTCACAACATACATTTGCGCCATTCACAACATGTACAGCATCCAGTGACAACCCATACTCAACAGAATGACAACACGAACAGAATGCAATTACAACCTATACATAACCAGGTGACAAACCAACACATCCTAATGACAACCTGCACACAAGACAATAACAACCTCTACACCGCAGTCACAACATATCCATAACCAGTTCACAGCGTACATTTCTCCAACTGACGACATAGAGTAGTAAATAACAACATACACAGTGACCAATCACAACCTACACATAACCCTGTCACAACATACATTTGCGCCATTCACAACATGTACAGCATCCAGTGACAACCCATACTCAACAGAATGACAACACGAACAGAATGCAATTACAACCTATACATAACCAGGTGACAAACCAACACATCCTAATGACAACCTGCACACAGACAATAACAACCTCTACACTTCCAGTCACAACATATCCATAACCAGTTCACAGCGTACATTTCTCCAACTGACGACATAGAGTAGTAAATAACAACATACACAGTGACCAATCACAACCTACACATAACCCTGTCACAACATACATTTGCGCCATTCACAACATGTACAGCATCCAGTGACAACCCATACTCAACAGAATGACAACACGAACAGAATGCAATTACAACCTATACATAACCAGGTGACAAACCAACACATCCTAATGACAACCTGCACACAAGACAATAACAACCTCTACACTTCGCAGTCACAACATATCCATAACCAGTTCACAGCGTACATTTCTCCAACTGACGACATAGAGTAGTAAATAACAACATACACAGTGACCAATCACAACCTACACATAACCCTGTCACAACATACATTTGCGCCATTCACAACATGTACAGCATCCAGTGACAACCCATACTCAACAGAATGACAACACGAACAGACTGCAATTACAACCTATACATAACCAGGTGACAAACCAACACATCCTAATGACAACCTGCACACAGACAATAACAACCTCTACACTTCGCAGTCACAACATATCCATAACCAGTTCACAGCGTACATTTCTCCAACTGACGACATAGAGTAGTAAATAACAACATACACAGTGACCAATCACAACCTACACATAACCCTGTCACAACATACATTTGCGCCATTCACAACATGTACAGCATCCAGTGACAACCCATACTCAACAGAATGACAACACGAACAGACTGCAATTACAACCTATACATAACCAGGTGACAAACCAACACATCCTAATGACAACCTGAACACAGGAAAATAACAACCTCCACACCATACAGTCACAACCTACACATCAGCTAATCACAACCTACAGTTGTGTCATTCACAACATGCACAGCAGCCATTGACAACCCACGATAAACCGAATGACAACACGAACAGAAGGCAATTACAACCTATACATAACCAGGTGACAAACCAACACAATCCATTAACAACCTGCACACAGTACTATAACAACCTTGACACCAGCAAATCACAACCTATACATAAGCAGTTGACAGCGTAGTAAATAACAACCTACACAGCACATTGACAACAGAGTAGTAAATAACAACATACAGAGCAACCAATCACAACCTACACAGCACATTGACAATAAACTAACATCAAAGTAAATGAATCATACCCACACTTACCATTAGGAAGTACATGCAACCTCCCACATTTTTCGTCCCATCAGCTTTTCCTTTCTTCTTTCCTTTCTTGAACTCTGCAATTGAGTTGCAGAATTCTTTCAAAACTAAGCTGCTCCAATCATAGTGTCCTAAACTATCCTTTGTCACCACCATGACTTTCAACACTTTATCACTCACCCATACACTAGAGCCAGGACACAAGAGGACTCCTAGTGCATACATAACAAAAAGGAATTCAAACTTTTCTTCCTCTTTTCCTTCAATCAACCATGTTCCTATTGTTTTGTATGGCACTTTCCCGTAGTCACTCCTTAATTTCTTGAACGTTTCATCTTCATTCTCCACATTTATTTTAATATCTTCCCCCTTAAATGGTAGACCCATCAATTCATTTACATCTTCGGGCCCCACTAAATGCGTCTTCCCTCGAATTGAAATTTGCCTACTTACAGGGTCAAACACACGGATCAATTCACCACAAAAATCTCTATAGATCTGTGAGCAGCATATGTCAACCAATTTATCAAAACCTATTCTTTTCAGTCTTTCCATCTTCTCTTTACTTTTCTTTAATTGCTTGCAGACTTCCATAAATTGTCCCGGAGCACAGCGTGTGTGAAAGGGAACAATATAATTCTTCCCTTTTGGTGGGACTCTCATTTCTTTAGCCCTTTCACCATATTGTTCTTTCTCCTCTTCTGTTAAGTTCCCCCAAGCCTTTTTCACAGAGTTAGTGCCCTCTTCAAAAGACTTAAACTTCTTCTTGTTCTGCTCATAAAACTCTTCAGTGAATAATATGTATCCGGAGAAATTCCTAGCCCTTTGTCCATCTTTACTCTTACTCTTTTTAGTCATTTTGTTCGACTGCAAAAAGGAAAAAAATTACTGTCATCAACATATATTTTAAAATAGTAAGTATCTTCAACACCACCAAATTATTCACTAATCAACAAAATCAAAATATATCCCTTTGGATGACAGAAAGCAATGAACGGCAGTAAATAATATGGATCACAAATCAATCCACCAGAATGAATTTCCCTTCATTGGTTATAGTATAGAGCCAATAGGTGCTATATCCAACAAGCAATTCCCTTTCTGACCTTATGGCCAAATTAACATTCCACCATGGAGCCCACCATAAAAAGCCAAACAAAACCTTTATTATTTTATTGCCGAACAAATCAATTACATAAAGTTCTCCCTTTTAATTCAGCAATATTAACAATAACTGATTGCTGCATTTAAAAAGCTCTACCAAATCAAATTTTTGACAATTTTAACCAGTGTTCTTCAAACTGATCTCTAATATAACTTTGTACCAACCAGCCCCAACTTTTGCCCCTAACTTTTATTCGCATGTCAGATCATTGTAATATCCACATTCACAGTGAAAATACAAGTCACGGTTATCACTGGTTCCATATATAAACACACGAAACAACCGAACATTCCAAACCACTTCAGGTCATCGAGCAGCTTTTACGAACAATCAACAATTCAAATGTTCAAACATTCCAAACCAAACATTTTTCAAAATATGACCAAGAAGCTTCAAATTGTCAAATATTCTAACCGAGAGAGACTAGTTGTCTGGAGATTGAGGCGTTAGTAGAGAGACCACCGGACTGTACCAGAGAGTTCACGGCGTCAGAGCAGACGGCAACTGAGTGCGGACCAGAGAGGGATGGAGTGCTGACCAGAGTCGGCCGGACCGTGCTGGAGATTGAAACCGTTCAATGCGTCGGAGAAGACGGCGACGGCGGGCGGACGAGAGACCGACGGACTGCGGACGACAGACTGACGGCGTGCAGACCCGAGACCGATGGACCGCGCAGGGGATTGAAGGCGTTGGACCAGAGAGTGACCGAATGCGGAGCAGCGACCGACAATGTACCAACCAGAAACTAACAGACCTCGCCGGAGATTGAACCTGTCGGAGCACACAAGGATAAAGCACCAACGACACGGCGGCGGAGTGTGAGCGGGCGACGGAGTGTGAGCGCGCGGCCGATTTCGCGAAGATGAAAACCGAAACGATTTTGAGTGTGCTTCGGTTACTTTCTCTAATCAAAAGGGCAAGAAAGTAATTGCAAGTTTCAAATTTTTTGCTATAAGTCCCTTGGGACCTCATATACATTTTCTGATTTCATGGGACCTTCTGGTAGTAAATTGTCTTCTGTGGGACTCTACAGTAATTTTCCCTTTAAACGAAAGAGGTTTACACAAGTTCTGTGCGCGCCAAGTAAATTTTATCCTTTCAGGATGAGTACATCATGGACTCTAGGGAGGCGACTGAATTATGGAATTAACTGTCTTTTTTTTGTTGGGGCCTGAAGAACTGGCCGTCTTCTCATGATAAGCTGTAATTTCAGGAAAAATGACTTATAATGACTGAAGCGCTCTGATTCTGATATTTATTTATTTGTTTTTTTTTTTGGGTTGTTAGAAGCGAGCTTTCTTTAACTCTTCAGTTAAAGCTATTCTTGATTCATTTCGTTAAGATCATGCTTAAAATGATTTATGCGGTGTTTAAGTAGGGTTATAGTTTTATACTCCTCTAGTTCTTACAGGGCAGAGAGAGACTTTTTTTGTTTTATTTATAGTGTACTAAGAAAAAATTTTTTATAGACATTACTCTTCATTTATTATTATGTTTAACTTTGTTTATATATAGTATAATATATATTAAATAAAAATAAAGTTATAAAATTATTAAATTTTAAATAAAAATTAATAAAATTTTAAAAAAATTTTAACCTATGTTTTAAAATATGTTAGAAGTAATTTAGAAAAAGAATAAAAAGACGGGGGCAGAGGCCATAGGTGAAAGGCTGTGTTGGTCAAGTTGTCGGCTTTTGCTGTAAGATGGCAGAATATCCAGCAGCAATGACGAAGGTGAAGGAAGGCCATTGCCCATTATAGGATTGTGCCCACTGCGTGCCCAGGGCCTTAACTTGGCTGGAATTGTGTGCGTGTAAACCGTAAACTAGCAGATAGGTTAGCTAGATATGCTATAAATATGAGGTTCCTGAAAAGCGACAATGACTTTGAGATTGATTGCCTTGTGGCTTCTGGGGATAAGAAATTTAGTTGGAAATGGCGTTCTTGCACGTCATGCCTGCTCCGTTCTCGTCGTCTCGGCCCCTTGCTTTTCCAACATTAAGAAACCCAGTTCGATGTGTCGCGGAACGCCAGGCCTTGTTCACTCGCATTGCTCCCGTCTATGATTACGTACGCCTTCTCTCCCTTCTTCTTCGTTTCTTCTTTGTATCATCTCATCACACTTTTTTTCTTCCATTTATTTTTTGATCCGGTTCCTTAGCTCAATGATTTGTTGAGCCTGGGTCAGCATCGCATTTGGAAGCGAATGGCAGTGTCATGGAGCGGGTATGCTGTTCCCTTACCACGGAATCAATGCGTTTCCTTCAAACGTTTGGGGTTTTCGCCCCTCCCTTAATGCGCTCTTTGTTTGAACTCTGAAACAGAACGAAAATGGGAGACCGTGTATTGGATGTGTGCTGTGGGAGTGGGGATTTAACGTTTCTTTTGTCTGAGAAAGTTGGCTTAAACGGCGAGGTTGCTTTCATTTCCTGTTTCCTATTGCCAATTCCTGTTCTAATGTTTAGTTTAATTTGGACTATGTGAATGTTCTGTTCATCATCTTAACAAATGATTGCCCTTGTTTCTGTTCGGGAGTTTGGTCGTAGAATTGAGTAGTATGGAGCCATGAGCCTAGATGTTTAATCTTTGGTGGACCTTTTTTTTTAATGCTTGATTGTGTTTGGATATCACTTAAAAAAAAGTACTCGATCGAAACAAAACTTTTAAAATCATGTTTTTGTTTCCACTTAAACACCCATGTCAATTTTGCCTTTATGTTTAGATATGGGGGAATTAGTGGGTACAGGATTTTATGCTATTGCAAGGTAACCTTGCTTAACACTGAAAAGTGCACTTTATTGATAATGGGCTCCATCCCGATGACAGTACAGGTGTCTATATATCCGGTGATATAACTCAGTAACTTATGCTGTACAGCTGTCTAAGAAAAGCCTGACTAGTTCCTAATGAAGTCAGCTACATATACTCTAATACTGATTACATACACACAGACACACTAATAAGTAATACTCCCTCTGGTGCTAAATATAAGACCCATTTTGTAGTGTAATTTTACACTACGAAATGGGTTTTATATTTAGGATTAGAGGAGTACTAAATTTTCTGATAGTTTAAGGTGGATTTTAATGTAATTGATGTCTTTTGGGGTCATGGAATCTTGCAGGTGACTGGTCTTGACTTCTCCAAGGAGCAATTGTTGATTGCTTCATCTCGTCAGAACTTGCTTTCGAAGGACTACTTCAGTAATATTGAGTGAGCATCGGTAATCCTAGCAATACGGAAAACATTACATAGGAGCTTGGAGCATATAATTGATTCTTTGGCTACAGTTATCCTTAACAAATCTTGTTGCTTCTCTGTTATTAAGCTGCAAAATTGTGTTGTATAGTTATGGGTTACTATTTCATGTGACCAAAATGTGAAGGCAGTGACTGTTCATTGCTTGGCAGATGGGTTGAAGGCGATGCTCTTAACTTGCCATTTACTGATGGTTCATTTGACGCTATAACTATGGGTTATGGTCTGCGAAATGTGGTTGATAGGCGCAAGGCCATGCAAGAAATATTACGAGTCCTAAAAGCTGGTAGCTTTTGTCTCTGAACCCCATCAATTTTATTATCGGCGATCTCTTATATTTGTCATTCTGTTATGCCTTTTCATTTTTCCAGGCTCCAGAGTGTCTATCCTTGACTTTAATAAGAGCGATCAATTTCTGACTGCCTCAGCTATGGTAGGCATAATTTTTATGGGTTATTACTTCACAATATCTCACTTTAGATGATGGGGCTACTTAGCATTAATCTGCACATATTAACTTCTGCTAGGAATGGATGATTGACAACGTTGTAGTCCCAGTGGCCTCTGGTTATGGCCTCTCCGAAGAATATAGATATCTAAATAGCTCAATCAGAGAGTTTTTGACAGGTTTGTTTTCAATCTATGTTCATCATGGCTTTTCCTCTGCCTTCAATGTACTCGAAGTGTGCAGACAGGCCTTTTTCTCTTTTTGTTTAAATATGGAATTTGTTTTAGCTACTATAGAAGCCAGAAGTTGATTGTAGTTGCATATTTTGCGCAAAATTCCTTGTTCTTTGGAGCAGTTTCCTGCCTTTATTTAGTTTACATCAATCTACTTTTGAAGCATGAGCAACTGAAACCTACATAGTTCTTAGTTGCACTTGATAGAAGGAAAAAATCAAACAGTTCTGGCTATTACATGACCTGTCATATTGATTGTGTAATTAATAAAACCCTCCATTGATGCAGGGAAGGAATTGGAGAAACTTGCTTTAGAAGTTGGTTTTTCTACTGCACGACACTATGAGATCAGTGGAGGCTTCATGGGCTGCCTGGTAGCAAAACGTTAGATGGGATTTATTTATGGATTTTTATTCCAGTGGATATGTATTTATTTATTATCGCGGGGCGATTTTTGCTCCGCTTGTAATTACACAGACTCTGCTCTTAATCAAAGTGCTCCACTCTTGACATTTTGAAGTTTACTGAATGTGCAATGGAGACTACTACTGCTTGCTCTTTTTGCCACAATAAATGTTCCAGACAATACAGTTGAAAAAAGTAACTTTCTTTTTCTGGTTTTGTCCCCCAAGTAAGTTCTGCAAAAGTTGTTACATTGCAAAGCTGCAGTATTAATTTCAGGGCATTATTGATGAATTAATCGTGCCTGCTCTTACACCTACTTCCCTTGATCACGCACTTATTTTTTATGGTTTGTGCTTGTAATGCATAAGCGACTTGTTTTACTCGGCAGATCAAAGTGCAAAACCACAGTAGCTTTCAATTTATCTTCTCTTTCTTTTTTCGTTGAAAACGAGTATTCTTTGCAAGTGGGAGGAGCTCTATCCAAATGTGGCAAAGGATCAAGTGATGATGAGATATTGACCCAAAAATCCATGTGAAGTCGATCATGATTCGATTTATTCAATATCCACTATTTACTACCTACAACTCTACTAGGATGTCTGAAAGCTTAGCTACTTCCCATGTATCTAAATGTGAACATCATAAAATTTCGGATGATGCAAAGAATTGCTAGCGACTTCCAACTTATGCAAGTTTGAGCCGAGCCGAGCATCTGCCAGCTCAAGTGAAGCTGGCGTGCAGAATTTGATGCATATAAGTGATTTCTCTCTCCAATCTGATGGTCACCTGGGGTAAAATTCGCTGTGGGACATAGTAGCAATTGAATCTGCTGCATTGAGAGGATAGAATGGATCACCATATATGTCTTGGAGTTCCATTGTGCTTTCATCTATGAAGGGTGGATTTGAGGGAGCAGGAAGTTGCTCCTCCTTCTTAGTTAGCATCTCTAAAGCTTTTGCCATAGTTGGTCGCAATGAAGAGATCTCTTGAGTGCATAGAAGTCCTATGTGCACCACTCTTAGAATTTCATCTTTAACATCGCTATTGTGGTTTTCCTGCGATGTTAGATTTGGATCAAGTAGTTGTCCTGCTGTCCCTGACTGAAAATGCTTCCATGTCTGATCTTACCAGAAGGCAAACAAAGACAAGGCTAGGTTAGTTCAGATCTCAATCTAGTCATAATATGAGAAATGTGTGGTTGAAGAGAAGTAGAATTCATTAAGTAATGGAATAATAAGTAACTGACCACTGTAATTAGGCTGTCTGAATATTCTGATGCTTTGCTTCTGTTATTCTGTCTCCCAGTAACTATTTCTAGCAGAAGCACACCAAAACCATATACATCTGCTTTCTCTGTTAATTGACCATGAGCTAGGTACTCTGGAGCCATATACCCTCTGCAAGCACAGAAAAAATAGCATAAGAAAAGATTAATTTCAGATATAACGTGGTAGTTTTACAATGACACATAAGTTATTCAGCATAGTAGTCTAACTTGCTTAAAACTCTGTTTTTAACTGTCAAACACGCAACATGGTTAAAGATACTTACAAAGTTCCTGCAATAGCTGTACTGATGTGGCTTTTTTCTTCTTGGAAAGACCTAGCCAAACCAAAGTCTGCAATTTTAGCTCGAAGCCTTGCGTCCAGTAAGATATTGCTGGCTTTTATATCTCTATGAATTATCTTAATCTTGGACTTCTCGTGCAGGTAGACTAATGCTTCTGCAGTCCCAATGATAATCTCATATCTCCTATCCCAGTTTAGTTCCTTGCCTCTGTTTTTATCTGTCATGCGATAAAATGATTAAGAAATATCATATTAAACTCACATTGTGAAACTCATAATGAATTACAATAGGCCATAAATAGCTTTAACTGGCGCTCAATTGTCTGAGTACCGCGCACTAAACGGAGCTAGATTAGGATTTGAGTAATTACCAAAAATGAAACGATCAAGACTTCTGTTGGGTAGATACTCATAAACAAGAAGGCTTTCAGGCCCTGCACAACTGCATCCTAACAATCTGACTAGATTTTTATGTTCCACGCTGCTGATTATGTTGACTTCATTATAGAAATCTTCTGCTCTATGTCTGTTGTTAAAATATAACCTCTTGACTGCAATCTCTCTTCCATCAGGCAAAATTCCCTGCAATGGAAAATGTTAAGAGTGGTTTCTATTTGATAAATAATGGTTATATAAGCGTATCACAAGAGGGAAATACTTTGTAAACTGTCCCAAACCCTCCTTGTCCAAGCTTGTTAGCAACATCGAAAGAGTCGGTTGCCCTCTCCAATGTTGAGTACTTGAAGTTCAAGCCGTTGTGGTGAAGGGTCTTTGCTAACTTTTCTACGTCATTTGAAGCTTCAATGCAGAATAACTATCGGGGTCAGTACACATCTTTGGATAATTTAAAATAAGTTATGGTTCCTCATTATAGTACCATACGATATCAAGAACTGGACCCAGGCTCTTTAAATCCTAGGAAGGAACTGGTTATATTTCACTAGGAATTGCGTGACTTTCTGTGTTTGACATGCTTGAGTTATATGAGTGGATAGTTTTCAATATTGTGAGGCATAAAAATGTTACATTGGAAGGTAGAAAGGATATTTAAATGATTCATACCTTAAAAATAGGCCTTTAATGTTAAAAAGAGTATTACGTTTTAAAAAGTTACGTTTTCCAAGGCAGGGCATTGAATAAGTCACATACCTCTCCGTTTCATTTGAATGTATCTCTGTTTCCAGACATAAACCCCGAAGGCAGTTGCAACCACGAAAACAATCACTGAACTGACAATTGCAACCACTAGCACTACTATATTACCTGCAAAATTCAGCAATGGGAACTAACTAACTCAAGGATCTATGATCTATCATTATTATATGTAAATTTCTCTTAGTGCTCAAAGCTGGATCATAACACAATTACCTGATGAGCTTTTACTTTCCAGTTCCTTGTTCAGGAAATCTGTGTCTGAATACCTCATGAAGCAGCCAGTATTCAGAGCTCTTCCTTCCGACCAGGGCAAGCATCCGAATATCGAAGAAGAAGCATCTTCAAGACAAGCTTTACAGGAGCTTGTGTTCAAACTTTGCCAACAATTAGCCAGAACATGAGCTGACTCATTTGCTGTTCCTGATACAGCAACCTTCCCCCTGGCATACCCGTCATTATTTGTTGCGGTTTCAACTGCACTCAGAACCGCCTGCTTCACTGTTGCTTGAAAACTCGAGCCTTTTCTGGTTGTGTTTCCGCACACAGCCCTGTCTTCTTCTCCTCTGTACTCATGAAAGAAGCTGTAATTCTCAGCCCTCATAAAGCAACCATCAAGGTATATACGACCACTATTGCTGGGGAAGCACTTAGGAAGAACTGTTCGTGCCTCAGCATAACATAGGACACAGTCAAGTAAGGAAAGATCACCATAGCACTCAGCAAGGCCATAGTTAGTATCAGGACCTCTCCCTGAAACTGCTGTGCCATACCCATCATGGCGCATCTGATCACTGATAACATCCATGGTTGTAACAAAATTTGACACAAAGTTTGTGATATTGTGCTCTGTCTGTCTTCCACACATTATTTGCACTGTCTTGGTTCTCGGATCTGCCACTACTGTTTCTGGCAGCATAAATAGTGGTAGTAATGATTTGATTAGAAGGAGAATAAGGGATTGACAAGAGGCTAATTGGACTGCCTTCTTCATGTTCTCTGCTACAGATTGCTGGACTGCTCAACAAGAAACTGCAGTGAAAGGAGAATTTAAAAGTTCTGCTTGTAGCTATATTAGATACAAGATCATTCTGGGTTTTATGATCACATCGTTTACTCTCAGAAATTTTAACATATTGTTGGATCCATGAAAATGAAATGCATCATTATTAGCTTAGGTTGAATACGAAGGCTATGTAAGGACAAAAGTAGATGCAGATAGGAGGGGCGATGTGTGAAAGGAGGACAAGAACCGAATTAGGCACAGACTTTTTGGTAGGAGATCACTTAAAAAGGTTTGTAAAACAACAGGGTGATAATTTCTCCAGCTCTTAAAAGGTAAATCTGTTTCTTTCGTGGCTTGTGTTTATATCAGTATAAAATTTAGTTTCACACTTCAATACTAGACAGAATAGGGTTGATGAGCTGTCACCCTGACCCCACTTGGAATAATCCATCAATGTTGGACACGATTGTAATGTCCATTGGAGCCGGAGGCCTGATTTTCTTGACAACCTTGGCGGTAAGTAATGGCTCCTCAAAAAGTCATTGGAGCCATATAAAGAAGGTTGTTGGGTTGATAAGAATAAATTATATATACTGAGAAGTTGAATTCTATTTCAAAAACTCTTGAAAAGTTTCATATGTATTTAGTTGATGGAGTAAAATACGTTTTTAAATCTAAAAAGTAGTCTAGACAAAATAATATAAATTATAAAAAGAATATTTGAAATATAATTCAGAAAAAAATAAAACCCTTCTTCAGACTTGGGGTGAACTTTCTTTAACATGCAGAAGGTGCCAAAGTCAAAATGACTTGCTATTGTTGCTGGGATATTAAAATTTAAAAAGCTTCTAGACAAATCGTCGGTGATAAATTACAAGTTTTAGGCCCCAGGAAAACCTGTCCCATTTATTATATTTTTAAAGAGATGAGGCCCTACAAAGCCCCACCATCAATGAAAGCAATCTTCTCTAAGAAAAGATCAGAAAGAAAAAGAAAAAAAGCAAAGAAAAGAAGCAGAGACAAGAACCAAGGTCACGCCTGCATAGCAAGCTGAAACAGACGGCCAAAACTCGGTTTAAAGTTTCTGACATCATGCGAGACTGTAATTCGTCAACCATGAATAGTTCTAGTTCTGTAAGTACAATGTTAGTATGGTAGTTCAATAAAGAAGTTGAAATCAAAAGAGAAGTCAGATGAAGTGTGAAGTGAATTCAGCGAATGAGAAAGAGAAGTAGACAAGTCTGTTTAGAAGGTTCTTACCTGTGCTTTCCAATTCCATTCAGTTCCAGAATTGAATTGAAGTCTCTCTTTACGGGATACGTGAATTCTATATACGAGACAAACTACCTTGAGAAATTGATTTCGTGGGAAACCAAGAAAAAGGCTTTAAAGCCTGCTCAGCTACTCCAACAACGCGTTTATCGTTTGAAAAGGGACCCAAAAAAAAAAAAACAAACAAACAGAGCCTTGACAGATAGCGAGTGTTTAGCTTCTGTGACAAACAATTCAATGACGCGTTCGTATTTCTGGGAAGATTGCGCGGTTTGCCGGAAAAGGAAATAATACATACAAGGACCCAAAGTTTGTAATATTTAGCCCACCTGAGGGATGTTACGAATTCTACCATACTACTCTTCTTTTGATCATTTCGAAGTGCGAGTTGCTGGTCTAGATTTTTAAATTTTTAAATTTAATATTTTAAGTTAACAATATAACATTATTTTTATTTTATGCTCTATTTTTTGAACAAAAGTATTAACATTATGAAATGAGTAAAATTTAAATTATATATATTTAATCTGGATGGTCCATCCAAAGTAATGAAGTTTTAAGTAACTTATTATAGATTATTAGGAAAGGTATGCTACATTTAAGAGGGATGTAATTTTAAGTAACTTAATACTACCTGCACTCCTTAATAACACAAATATGGATCGACTTTCTTAAATTATCATATTTAATTATGTGCATTTAAATGTAAAAGAAAGAGTTACTCTCTTTGCTATGAATTCAATACTTGTAGTGCTTCCCTATCGCTCCGATTCAAGTTCGAGATGATTGCTAAAGCAGCAAATAGGGAATCTTTTTAAGCTTTCAGGTGTCTGCTTGGAATGCGCTATAAAGAGTAAGCTATTTGTACACCGTACTCGAGATTCACTCACCTGAAGATCTTTCACCTATAGTTAAAAAAAAATTAATATCTTATATTTAGAATTTAATTTAAAACTCTCAATTAGGTTTTATATAAAAAACAGGTAATAGCAGTAGTAATGTTTTAAAAATTTCATGGTTCATCTGAAATTAATTCCCAGTAAATTTTCACTTTTTTCAGATCCTCTAACGTAAACTATCCTACAATAGTCCTCATGGGAAGTCATAAAATGACGTTAGCATGAGATGCTGCGTTCCAACTTCCATGCTAGCTCAAGAAAAAAGAAGGGAAAATGACACTAAAATACCACTTGAATTCCAAAAAGACAAATAAGGCACCTGAATAAGCAAAATGACAAAGAAGGCATCAGGTACCAATCTGGAATTTTGATTTTTGGCCTAAAGACTGAATTGTCCTTATTGTATTTGAAAATTGAGGAGATAGAGAAAGGTAGAAATCACCTCCTCCCAGCGAAAGCAATTCCCCCCACTCGGCGAAAAAGAAACTGCCCCCACTTGGCGAAACCAATCCATCTACTCGGTGAAACTAATCCCTCCCCTCAGTGAAACCGAATCCCTCTACTCGATGAAACCAATCCCTCCACTCCACGAAACCGAACCCTCTCCAGTTGACGAAACTAAATCCTTCGCATCACCATTATGTAGAGATTATTGATTTGGTGGGTTTTGGTTGTGGGAAAGAGGATTTGTAGTGAGAGAGGGAGTGAACTGAAGCGGAAATCAGAAAACAATGGCAAGCAATTACGTAACGTAACTACTGTCGTATGCCTGCTGGTTTTTGGTAAATCCTATTACGTAAATGGTAAATTTCACTATACATGTAGTTAATTATGAATTTTACAAAATACATATTGTGATTTACAACTTTTGTAGTGAAAGTGACTACTTTGTTAATGGGTTTTGCAACCTATTTTCAGGAGATAAACAATTTATTTGTAAAAACTAATAAAATTTCACGTTAAATTTGACAAAACATATAGTGGGATTTACAACTTCCGTAGTAAAAATGACCACTTATTGAATGGGTTTTGTAACTTGTTTTCAAGGGATGGACAGCTTGTTTCTAAAAACTAATAAAATTTCCTATTAAATTTGACAAAACACATAGTGAGATTTACAACTTTCGTAGTGAAAATGATCAATTCTTCAATGGGTTTTGTAACATGTTTTCAAGGGATTGGCAACTTGTTTCTAAAAACCAATAAAATTTCATGCTGAATTTTACAAAACATAGAATGATATTTACAACTTTTGTAGTGAAAATTACCACTTCTTAAATGAGTTTTGCAACCTCTTTTCAAGGGATTGGCAACTTGTTTCTAAAAACCAATAAAATTTCATGCTGAATTTTATAAAACATAGAATGATATTTACAACTTTTGTAGTGAAAATTACCACTTCTTAAATGAGTTTTGCAACCTCTTTTTAAGGGATTGGCAACTTGTTTCTAAAAACCAATAAAATTTTATGCTGAATTTTACAAAACATAGAATGATATTTACAACTTTTGTAGTGAAAATTACCACTTCTTAAATGAGTTTTGCAACCTCTTTTCAAGGGATTGACAACTTGTTTCTAAAAACCAATAAAATTCCATGCTGAATTTTACAAAACACAGAGTGATATTTACAACTTTTGTAGTGAAAATTACCACTTCTTAAATGAGTTTTGCAATCTCTTTTCAGGGGATGAGCAACTTGTTTCTAAAAATCAATAAAATTTGACGCTGAATTTTACAAAACACACAGTGATATTTACAACTTTTATAGTGAAAATGACCACTTCTTAAATGGCTTTTACAACCAGTTAATTCAACGTGACTACAAAAGTTGTCACTTTTATTAGTTTTTACAAATAAGTTGTTTATCTCCTGAAAACAGGTTGCAAAACCCATTAACAAAGTAGTCACTTTCACTATAAAAGTTGTAAATCACAATATGTATTTTGTAAAATTCATAATTAACTACATGTATAGTGAAATTTACCATTCACGTAATGGGATTTACCACAAACCAGCAGGCATATGACAGCAGTTACGTTACGTAATTGCTTGCCAGTTTTGATTTCCGCTTCATCTTTCCGCTTCGGTTCACTCCCTCTCTCACTACAAATCCTCTTCCCACAACCAAAATCAACAATCTCTACAGAATGGTGATGCGAAGGAGTAAGATAATAGCATTTCCAACGTTTTTCTTTCCTTCTTCCCGCATTTCATCAGCGTCGGTCTTCCTCTCTCATTTCTCTCACTGCGTCGATCTTCCTCTCTCCTTTCTCTCACTTTCAGCGTCTATCTTCCCAATTTCATCAGGGCATTTTGGTCTTTTGGGCGAAAATATGAATTCAAATTGGTACTCAGTGCCCTATTTGTCATTTTGCTTATTCAGGTGCCTTATTTGTTTTTTTGAAATTCAAGTGGTATTTTATTGTCATTTTCCCAAAAAAGAATGAAAAGAAAAGAAAAATGTCAGTATGTATAAATACTTTGGTTTCCAATAAATTTTATTTTGAGTACTAATTATAAGATATAAATCAGATGCCTTTGCTGGTCAAAAAAGATATAAATCAGATGCTATCACACCATTATATGTGTATATACTCCTTGGATCTTTAATATAGAAGTTAATTAAGAAGTTCATATTAGTTTTATATATAAGACCTATTTTACATGTTTATTAATTTTTTTAAAATTAACTTTATTGGTATTCTCTCAACAATAATTAAATAGGATAGGGAGGAAGGGAATTAAGAAAGATACTCAGAGTGTTTTAAAAAAAATCATATTAACTTATTTAACTAATATTTTTAATTTATTTAAATTAATTAATTATATTTTATATTAATTACAGCAGAAACTATCACAACAAAATATAAAATCTAAGCATGTTGAGAAGTATAAATTGGATTGCCTATTGACCAAAAGAACAAAAATTGGATTGTCTTGTCTTTAGTGTCTGACATGAGTTCCAATAACTCAACTGTATCTCATGGGTGTTTTCGCAGAATCTGCATCTTTTGAATTTGGAGGTAGCGTTGACCTTTCACAATAAAAGTGATTTTTTTTTTTGGAAAAAAGCATTCTACCCACTTTCTCAACATGAGATCTACCTAATAAATTTGGATAAATTAAAAAAATTAATTAAATTAATTATTTATAAAAATATATATGTTAATTTTTTTAAAATATCCTCTTTAATATTTTACCTTGAAACTATCATAAAATTCTCTTAACATGTACAACCAACAAAGATAGTTTGAAAAAGAATGATGAGTGGAGAGGAAAAAATATATTGAAATATTATATTTATGACTAAATTCAACAATAATAAACTTTTATATTAAAGTACTCTTCCGGCCTTTTATATAGGACTTAATTGTTGAATTGATCTTGATCCTAAATATAAGACTTATTTATCACTTGTTAAGAGGATATTAAAAAAATGATTATAGTATTTTTGAAAAAATATTTCATATTTCTTATAATTAACTAACTTATCTAACTTTTTTAATTTAATCAAATTTGATAAGGAGATCTTATATAAAAAGGAAAGAAATATTTTATATGTTTCAACTTCTCTTTTCACATGACGGCCTGTCCCAATGTATAAATCTGGCGTGCAGACTCAAAAGGATAATCTCATACAACTATTCTCTATGCTAAGAAGCTTTAATATACACGAGGAAGTTGGCTCTCAAGCACTAGCAAAAACAAAAGGACCGTGAAATCGCCTACACTGTGAAAAGATCAAAAGCATATTATTACACATATAACTATGAGTAATATTAGATGTGTATATATAATACGTTAATGTGTGAGTCATCCAGGAGGAATAAGGCTTTCAGTCATGCTGTCCTCTGAAGAATTTGTGTTGGATGAAGTATGAAAGTTATATTCAGATTTGCTGCATTCTATACTGCTTGGAACCAGAAATGGCGGTTGTGTTGGCTCTGGAATTTCCTCACTGCTAGTCATCATTTTCACCACTTCTGACATTGACGGTCGTAGATTTGCTGATGCTTGTGTACAAAGCAATCCTATCTGAAGTAGCCGACGTGCTTCCTCCGCTGGATAATTGTCTTGAAGGCTCGGATCTACCATGTTACCTAGGTTGTCTGACCTATGAAGATTCCAAGCCTTTGAAACCAAGAGAGAAACATATTGGGATAATCAGCAAACTTAATAAAAGTGCTCCTTGTTAAACTTGGTTTTGAGACAAAATGAAGAATTACCACTTGTAGGATGGAGGATGCATTTAGAACAAAAGAACTACTCCTTTTTCCGGATATGATTTCAATTAGAAGGACTCCAAAACTATAAACATCTGCTTTCTCTGATAATTTTCCCTGAACAACATATTCTGGAGCCATATAACCGCTACATGTACACATTAAAAATACCAACTCAGGATGTTTCCTATAATGGAAAATTCATCAGAAACTTCAGATAACTGAAGAAGGTCATGAACTTACAGTGTGCCAGCAACAGTAGTGCTAATGTGAGTCCCATCTTCTGGAAATAATCTAGCCAGTCCAAAATCAGCTATCTTGGGTGTGAAGTCCTTTTCAAGCATAATGTTGCTTAGTTTTATATCTCTATGAATAATTCTCACTGGTGATTCCTCATGGAGATAGGCCAATCCCTCTGCAGTTCCCAATATAATTCTACGCCTTGCTTCCCAAGTCAAGGGTTGAGATTTTTGCTTCGCTGAAAGAGTATCAAAATGATGCAATGTAAGTAATATAAAAAAGTTATGAGGAAATGTCTCAAAGACTTGGTTAGATGTCAACCAGAAAAGTGGTCATGAACGCTTTGGTTTGGCATGTATTCATAAACGAGAAGGCTTTCGGGTCCTGTAATGCTGCAACCCAGAAGCCTTACAAGATTTCTATGATGAATGCCACTTATCAGATTAACCTCATTGAAGAAATGATCTGCCCATTGTGTTGTGTGAAAGCTAAGCCTTTTTATAGCTACGATATTCCCATCTGGCAGAACTCCCTACATATATGTTAAAAGGGGGAAAATGAAGATATAGTCAACCAATCTGAGTGAAAATTTGGCTGATACAAACAGAGAAATTATAGGCAAGACCAGTAGTTACTTTATAAACAGAACCTGAACCTCCTTGTCCAAGCTTATTGGAGGCATTGAAGTAATTTGTTGCCCTTTCAAGAACTTCATATGTCATATTGAGCTTGGACTTGTGAACTCTGTCCAAAAGTGCACCGAACTGTCTTCTTGCTGAGAGACAAAGAACCATCAGAATCCACAAAAATGATTCGATGTGCTTCAAGTTCAAAACAATCTACCAAAGTCTCAAGTATCAAACATTTGATACCTCTCTTCCTCCTCTGCATCCTCTTCCATGCAAAGAAGGCAACTACTGCAACAGCCAGTACAAGAGCTGATCCAGCACTGGCCAGCATTATAGTGTAACTGCTGCTGTTCCCTAAGAAATCATGACACATAGATTTATTGCTATAATCTGGTCACTATATGAGCAACTTTGAAAGGACTTTCCACAATATTGCTGTTCCAAGAGAATATGCAGAATATGAAGGATTAAGGGGTGCATAGGTGTAAAAGTTTACTGCCAGCTTTTCAAGAAATAAGCAGAGAATCTGAATAGGCCAAACAAAGAATGAAATTTTTTCTATGGAAGTATTAAATTTTACCATGAGTTTCAGTAGGGGGATCGGTTGAGTTGCCATAGAACTTTTGGGTTGAATAACTCATATAACATCCAGCATTCAGCACTCTTCCTTCTTCTTTTGGGGTACAAGAACTAATATTATTAACAGCTTCTGCTAAACATCTCTCACAAGCACTCCCATTAACGAATTGCCAGCACTGAGCCAACCCATAGACAGTCACATTTCTTCTTCTCACAAAACCCACGAAGAACCCATCATTTTTGGGTGCTTCCGCACTTAAATCCCTCACTAACTTCATTGCATTAGCCTCATAAATACTCTGATTCCCACCAAACTCTTTGCTTCCACACACAGTTCTGTCTTGATCACTGAGACTCTCATTGAAGAAGTTGTAATCATCGTACCTGAGATAACACCCATCAAAGAACACCCTTCCCCCGCGGGTCCCTCTCTGAAATGGTAAACACCTCGGGACTTGAGTCTTGATCTCCGCGAAGCAGATATTGCAATCCGATTTGTATAGATCTTTCATGCACTGTGCGAAAGCATAAACAGTGGAATTTCCAGTCCCATTAATAACAGACGCATATCCGTGCGAATCAATCGAAGGAGTCATGGCGTGTAATGCAGCTAAGAAATTGTCTGAGAAGATATTGCGTTCTGAAAATGGCGTAGTTTTGTTTGTTGCACACATCAGAGCTGCTTCTGTAGTTCTCGGATCAGAGAGACAAGGAACTGCGAAGCGAAAAAGGAGAAGAAGCAGAAGGGTTACACCAGACATTACTGATGAAAACAAAAAGTTTTCTTCTTTTTTGGCTCGGTGTTGAGCACGACACACAGAAATAGGTGTTTGGAATGCAAGAAAACAGCCGGAAAAGAAAACAGAGTCGACAAGAAAGAAAAGGAAAGTGGAAAAGACACAGTTTTGATGGATATAGGGAGTAGTATTCTTTTTGTTCAAGCCAGTGAAGTGCCGCGAATTCAAACAAACAAGAAACCGAGTGATAATATATAATAGGTCACCAACCGAAAGTCCATTAACTTAACATTAAAACAGATAATTCGGGTTATCAAGAACCATGGCGTCGTATTTTGTCATGATAGGAAGACAGGTTGGTGACACAGAGGTTCAAGCATGGTGGTGGGACCAGTGGCAAATGTGGTCTGGAGATGATTTGTGGGGAGTATAAGGTTGAGATTTGTTAGGGATGTTGCTGTTAATGTCAAAGAAGATGTCAATTTTATGGCAGAATGGCAGATCCCCACGCGATGAAAGTGACGTAGAAGGTCCGAACGCGTTGAAAATGAGGGGGACGCATCGTCCCCGATGGATTACGACACCACAATAAATATAAATATATATACATTTGTGTAAAATCATCTCTTCAAGGTTTATTTTAATAACTCTTCTTCGGGTTGAATCAGCAAAGCAGTGAATTGCGCCAAGTCACAGTGACCTCCCCGCTAATGCCTAATAGTTGTTGTGCACTTGTAAGTATAATTTGTCCTTAATTATTCCCTTCTAGTTAAAATATAAGGTAAATTTTATTTTTTTAATGTTTATTAAAAAATTAGTTAAAATCAATTCAAAATAATAAATATGTAACACATGTATTTTTTCTTCAAAACATGCCCTTATTAATGAAGAGAATGAGTAAAATATACAATAAATGAATTAAAGAGGAAAGAAAATATAAAGGGACAAAATTGGAAAAAAAACTTATTAAATACTTAGACAAAAGTAAATATTATCTTATAAAAAAAAATCAAGTCCTTCTATCAAAGTTTATCTTATATTTTCAACCTGAAGGAGTTTATTGTCACAATTCATTTTGTCCCTTGTATTTATTTATTCTGTCTCCTAAGCAACCCAATCATGATTGCATATATTAAGGGTTTTTACCAAAGAATTGTTTTAATGCACATGGTTAATGATGATATTATAGAGAAGACAACACTCATTTATTACAAATAACTAATTTAATTAATTTTCTTTATATCTGAGAATTAGCTATCTAGTTCTTATGCTTAGGACCAAAAATAGTATGAAAATTTATCATAAACATATTCGCATAAGGCAAGATAAAACCTATTTGACATACTTCTACACAGCAAATCTTGAAAAACTGTTTTTGAATGTTAGTTCCAAGCAAGCTCTTAATAAAATAATTGAGATTTTAGAGCTTATTGGGGGAAGGCATCATATGGAAATTTCGATGTTTATATTACTTTTCTAATATATCACCGCTAAACCATTCTTCAACACGTTCACACGTATTATTCTGCACCAAATCAAAACGCGCATCTGCTACCTGCAATCTCTTTCCCATCCTTCTTCTTGGTCAGCAAAACGGGTTGATGTGTACAACTTCTGAGAAATTTTTGAATCCGTGCTTTTGCCACGGCAATTAGGTAAACAAACATTTTAGTAAAACACTTATCAATTTTTTTTATTAAAAACATAAATAGTATAAAATAATTATTTTATTGAGAACTACATAAAACATAATCAGATTTCATTTTCCATTAATTTTTTGGGCTTTCATTGGCATACTTTCACGGGGAAAAAGGCTTTTTTGTTATACAAGAGCAGACATGGGGGAACAAATTGTGAATTTTTGTGGGCTAAGTAAGCCCAATAGAACCTCACGAGGTCCAATAAACTAAAGGAGATGAATTATTACACAGAAGCCCAATATAATCCTTGTGAGGCCCAATGCGACATTAACATCAGTATACGACATCGAAAGTCGAAACGGCAAGGATCTTCTTCCAATTTTCCGAGGCTAGTGGCTCTCTTGTCCTGATGGAGCTCCCAAGGGACAGATGAGGCACGCCGCACGCCTGGCCTCATAGTTGTTTTCCTCTGATTTCAACGCCATTGTCGTTTCGCTCACTTACAAGCAAATTAAGTGCTGTGTCCGCCTTTCTGCTCACTGAATACTGGTTTGGCTGTCAGTAATTTCTGAATGGGCATGGTTGTGTTTGTAATGAAAATTTGTTTTCTTATCTTTCTTTCGTTTTTCCTTCGCCTGTTTTCCCTTGTTTTCAATCTTACCGACTAATGTGGTTCTATTTATACTTGGTGCTTATTATTTTGGAATAATATCCATGGTGGTGTACACAGATTCTTTTGTCGATTTGAAGGAAAATCCTGCTTCACATGTGGATTCGTTGGTGTTCATTATGACTGAGTACTTTCTTTGGTTTTATGTTTCGCAGTTTAGTTGAAGTTAAATGAAGTTTGAAGATTTTGTGAACAATACCAATGAGAAGATATGTTCCATTTGACACAGAGAATTGAAACTGTATAAGATGACACACAGAAGATAAACACAATTCAAATACAACAAAAGCCAGGGGTTACTAATCACAATATATTCTTAAGTAACATCTTCCTAATCACAATAACTATGGGGTTTGGTAAGGAATTGTTCCCAAGTACGTGGAAAATTAATCATGAAAAAAAAAAAAAATTGGCCATGAAATATGTTGAAAAAAACCATGTTACCTGTTATTGATAACATGCGCAGTGCGCCTATCTTGACTTTTTCATGTCTTGTGTCCAAAATTATATAACTAAGTTTCCAAGCACTCGGAAAGTAAAATGCTCATGTGCCAAACAAAATGTAAATGATTGTGAACTAGCATGATCTTGGTAATATTACAGTCATCCATTTAGTTATAAAAGAACCAGAATATTGAGACAACTTGATTCTTCAATAAAGGATTTCTTCATGCCAGTGCATTTTGTGCCCGCTGAAGAACAATCAAGGATTTGGTGGTGTGGCTTCAACAGAAGACCTTGCTGAAGAGTGAACTCTTTTTCCTCTTTCACTTCTGCTTACATCAGCAAATTTCATGCTTGCAGTATGAGAGCCTTTCTGCTGCTCCTTTGAGTTCCACTCAGACAAGTAGTAATCTTCTTCTGCAACCTTTTTAGATGAGGGACCGCAAAGCATGCCACCCCATTGTGGGAAGTAGATCAAACATAGGGGGAGTGTGCAGATTATGATCATCACACCCATTAGGGTTATACCTCTTTCTTTAGAATATTTGGACCCTTTGAAGAAAATTAGCTGCGTCAAAATAGCACCCACATTTCCTCCACCTCCCGTCATTCCAGATATTACCCCTAATGATCTGAAATATGGATGCAGATTATTAGAATAAACCATAAAGACCTATACATTTTTTTAATATAACTATGTTCGGATGAAGATACTTGATCAGCCTCTGTATTTGTATGTACATCTTTTGGCTCATGTATGTTCATGTAATTTTTCATACTTCAGCACTGAGGCTGTACAATAAGATCATTTCGAGCTTAGGGATTATTGAAATATTTTTCTCCGCTCTGGAAATCAGTCATTGCCTGTTCTGAAGCCATGAATGTTTTAAAAGAACCAGCATGCATGAAGCATGAAACGCGCCAGAAAACCTTTTTTTTTAAAAAAAAAAAAAAAGAGAGTTCAAGCTATTAAGATTTCAACGAAGTTAGGATGACTTTCCCTAGTATATTATATATCTTCCATTACTGTTGAATAGATTATGTCAGATCTGATGGTTCTTACTTAAACTAAATTTTACTGGATTTCATGCCCTTTTCCTTTAGGTGAATCTGATAACATAATTTTGATCGTTGAAAGTTCAAAAATGTGGAATGTGTAATATAGACTGCTCTCAATAGCAGGTTAGAAATTGGACTCTACTGGAAAAACTCATGCCCCGCCTGATAAAGTTGAAGAGGGAAGTTTTTTAATCAATGGGACATCATGCTTATCTGCCAGACTGTGGGAAAAAGGAAAATATACCTTCTTGAGACAAAAGGAACCACCCCGAATGTCAGCCCACAAGCAGCTTGAACAAATATAGAGAATATGATCATGATAACGATGGATAGAGTAAGAGACCCCACCTTGCCAAGGATCATGCACAATACCCCTCCTAAGGTTTGGCACAGCCATAAGGCCCATAGCCTACCTCTCATTCCAAACCTCTTTGCTATTGCATCTGATATATAGCCCCCGGCAGGTCGAGAAACCACGTTGGCTAATCCAAAGCTTGCAGCAATTATTCCTGCTGTATGGAGTTTTAGATCAAATCTGTCATAGAAGTATTCAGCTATGATACTATCCATTGTCAGCTCTATACCGAAGCAATATCCATAAGTAAATGCCAGAATCCACCCTCTGTAGTTTGTAATCCCATAAAACAGCACCCGTGGGAAGTCATCTTTTGGCTTTTCCCCTGACTTTTTCAGGCCATGGAAATTCCCATCTGGCAAATCCTGGCCAAATATTAATATGGCAAATGCTGTTAACATTTGAAACATTGCAGGAATGAAGAATGAAATTCGCCAGGCTGTGAATTTGACAGTGCCGGTACTTTGGATTAGTGCAAAGACAAGGGGCATAAGTAGTTGTGTGGCTCCTCCTCCTAGGTTTCCCCATCCAGCTGCAACTCCATTTGCAAAACCAACTACTGGAGCAGAAAACATAGAGCTCATCCAGAACTGGGCTGAGACAAAGGTGGCTAAGGAGAAACCCGTTAAAAAACGCACAAGAAGGAAGGAGTTAGCAGATGAAATAATGGAAGTGAAGAAAACAGCTGGTGCTGTGAGGAGAATGATAGAAGCAGAGGCAAGACGGGGCCCAAATAAGTCACAGGCAGTCCCCATTGCAATTCGAGCAAAAACTGCTCCTGAAACAGATGCAATCCCAGCATTTCCAATGTCTGTGGCTGTCAGGCTGAGGTTGTCACGAATGATTGGAAGGAGAGGAGCCACAGCAAAACTGGAGACAAAGCACGAGAAGAAGGAAATCCAAGATAGATGGAATGCACGCATGTGGGGCTTAGCCACTGTGAATAACCTGAATTCTGTGGCCTTGTGATCAGAATCCACAGGAAGAGCAAATTTTGATTGCAGAGATTCCATTGCAGAACCTGATGCATCCATACTTGGCCCTGCAATTGGAGGATTGAACTAAAGAAGAAAAATATCTCTTGGAAGTTTAAGTAAGATGTGATACTTAATACCTGCATATAACAGAGTTTGTGGATGTTAGACTACAAAGACGGACACAAATCATTGGTTAAAAACTGAGATTCTGAGAGTTGTAACAAAGTAAGATGACTTTCATGGGTAAGAAGAGCATGGTTTGGTGCTAATAACTTCCTTCATGGTGCCGAATCTCATTGTCGTTACTTACGTTAAAGTTCAAAAGAGTGAAACAGCTTGACACTTCAAGGCAAAGGAGGAATAACTCGTCGGCTTAACCATAGCTTGCTTGAAGCATGTAGCGTCATGCGTTTCTTGCTGCGTGAAGAGATTGTTAGAGACCAAATAATATTGAATATGGAGAACTGAGGGTGAAAATGAAAGGAAGAAACCAAAAACACCCACAATTATTGACTTTCCTGAGTTCTTTGTCTGTACAGCTTTTCTCGACACTCAGAATGACCAATTTACCCTTATACTTCCTGGTATAGTGGAGCACTAACATACTAGGAAGCTCTCTCCTATTCATGGCAGGCAAATCTACACTACTATATCATATTTACAGAAGAAAAAGTAGCAATTGTTTTAGGAACTCGTGCACATGGGAGCTGTTTTCGAAGACCTTATGCCTGTTTGCATCATCTTGCACTAATTCCTTTGGGAGCTTGTGCACTAATAGATTTGGTTTACAGCACGTTGCACTGTAGAGATAGGGATGAGAATGAGATTCCTGTACTCCATATTTGGCTGGAAGAATTTAAGCTCGTTCAATGGCAGTTGGATAGCTCATTGCCACAACTCATGAATAGGAATTGCTTGTCAAGTCGATGGAATCTGCTTCTTTTTTTGGAAACGACTTTTTATTTACCTCCTCCCATCTCTGTACTTACATTTGCCAAGACAGTTTGTCAGAATTAGTTCAAGTTTATGAACTTTTCAAAATTACTCTCATTGTATTGTGATCTCATCTTAATTATATCTCTTTTCCCACTATCTTAACCTTAGAGGGACAAATTTTGGGAAAAAAATATTTAATGCTGTCTAAATTCTGTAAAGGGATTTGTACAATCAAAACCTTTTGAAGTGTGCCTTGTATGTGGGAATAGAGAGGGTAACAGGAATGCTTGAACCCACTACACTTAGCTCAATTGTACCATACTCCTATCAATTTAATAGGAACATGTGGCTAGTCGGTGATGAATTTGGAAAGTATAGAAGATGGGAGGAGGTAATTGATTGCGTTGACTCCGTTTTGTGGCAGTACCTTCCTGTTGATTGAAACCATTAGACCATTTGGAATGTGTTGTCAGGTACTATTGATTAAAGTCACGATGCCAGATTATGGGGTATTTGGGTGGAAACAAAACTATGATTTTAAAACTACTTTTACGGTATATAAAATAAATATGTGAAGGAGTTTGCCTCAATTTGCAAAAAAATACTTTTAAAAAGTGTTTTTACACTCATCCAAACACCCCTTATATCAAAGAGAATGCTAAAAGTTTGTTGGGCAAGATCATTAAATGGAGAGGGACAAGCACCAAACCTTACCTCCTTCCGTTTTTGTCTCTTGGCCAAGTCTGTGAGTTACAAATATCTACCTCTTCTATAGAACCCTGTTATTGTCACATCTTTACATGTTTTTATATGTGTGTATATATGTTTTTAGACTGAGGATTTACATAAGTACGTATTATCTTACTGGATGCTTATGTAGTCAAAAAGTCAAATATTTGAAGGCATCACTCTATTCCATTCTTGTACATAAGTTACTTGTATCATTTTCTCGCATATCAAGAAATATATTAAATTAATAAAAAATTTTACACTTGCTCCCATTAAAGAAAGGTTATTGACAAAAAAAAAAAAAAGTGATGTTCATTATTTTCTCGCCTACTTTTTTATTGTATTCAACAAGAAGGTCATCAATTACCTTATAATTGACTCATACCGTATTTAGAAACAAATTTTTCTTATACATATAGGCACAGAGTAGTACACTGTTAGTATCTGCTTGCTATGGACTTGCTTCTTTCTGCTGCGAAATTCAGATAAATTGTGAAAAAGCTTGAGGAATGCTTGCATTTTGAAAAATATTTGAATTTTGTTTTATTGGATGCTGAATGCGGTTGTTATGAAGAAGACATTGGGATACACACGGAATAGGATATGTTTGGACATAGAAATGTGAGTAATTCAGTGTTGGTTTTTGGATATGCTTCGTATAAACGGTGAGCTTGGGAAGAAGCGAACTGCAGAAGGATGCGTAGGAAATTGACAAAATGTTGACTGATTCTCATATTCATTTGCAATATAAATTAAGTATGTGACGAATATATCTGCCAATTATTGGTTGCCACCGACCTTCTCATTTGTTTTTTTTTCCAAAAAATAAATTTATGAATACAAGGAGTTCAGATTTTTTACAATTACAAATTAATTGGATATAATATATGTTGATAGAAGGAAATAGGAGGTTAAGCATAAAATAAAAGCAGGATCGGTATGCTCCGCAATCATAATTAAATCCCACTAAATAAATATATTATATACATTTATAATAAGAATAGAAGAACAGAAAGTATGTGAAAAAATGGCAAATCAAATTTCTGATATGTATTGGAAAATAATGAGATACAAAAGACTTGATTGAAATTCTATGTTATTTTTGTATTATTATTTTCTATCTCCTCCTAAATTCACTGTGAATATTTTTTTTTAATTATTGTAAGAGATCGTGATAAAGGATCTAGAAGATAAATTTGTAACATATCTTTACTCTTTAAACTGGGTCTAATTTATTTGTCCAAAAAAAACTTGTTCTAATAAATAAATACGTGATGTAGTGTTATAAACAAGTTACAATTTGTCCCCAAAAAAAAAAAAAGCTTATTCTAATATACTTACATATGTTTTGGTCAGCAATTGCATGTGTGAATCTAATTGCATCCCACTCTAGTAGAAAAAGTTAACATATGTTTATTAAATTAAACATGTTAATTATATACCATTGATTTTTTTATATTTAGTATATTTTGGATAAATAGTAAACTTCTTTTTTCACGTTTGTGGTTTCCGTTGAACTGCCACATACGTGATGTGAAATTAAAAAATGAAAAGTAATCGCAATATTGGGCGATTGAATTAGAACGAGATTAACGTGCTCATAATAATTAGTGGAGGGTGGAAGATGGGACTGGGAAATGATTGTTTTGGATTCGTTGAAAATGAAGTAGAAGAGTATCATTTATTTTATTTATTTATTTATTTTAGGAGTATCATTCATCGAATCTTTCAAAGAGAACATAATAGAAATGGAATCTGAAAATTATTAAATCCCATCAAATTAGTTTTGTTTTTTATACTTAAACAAGTTTTGATTGTAGACTTGATTTACAAATAACAACATATTTTTTTGAGGAATTTCTTATTTAAAATTGTGCAATTTCCAGGTTTTTTTGGGTCATTCTCCCTCTTTCAAAAGAGTGATTGTTTGAGAATTTTTTATTAATCCGTTCAATATTATAACTATATCTATACAATGTAAAATTTATAAAACTTAAACAAATTATGGGTAATATAATTTATTTCTGAGCTCCATACAACGTCGAGGGTGACGCTCTAGTTAGCTAATTAAGTTGCTATGTATGTCCATCCCTATTTTGAAATTAAAGAAATACCTTTTTTGCCAACCATTTTGAATATAAAGATTTAACTGGATTACATTATTCTATCTGAGATACGCAAAGATTCATTTTTTTTTCCCCATCCAACTCAAGTTTAACTCTAAATATTCAATAAACCAAAATCAAATCGCTTAACCATTGCACATGAAATTAACTGCAAAAAACCCAGAAGATGTTAATATTTACAAAGCAAAGCCACATCATTTTGTTTTCTTACAGAATTGGCATACTGGTACTACTAGTAAATATTATCTTTGCTTTTAAATACAAGATCTAGTTTGTAATGATAACTAACAGTAGCATATAATAGATTTCACTGGTCCACCTAAACTAAACGCTCCTTCCAAACAACGCATGAACGATTTGTAACCAAGTGCAATCTTTGAAAATACCAAAGCCACCCCTACATTTATAAGCAAACCAGAATATTTTTGTTGACACAAACTTGATTGATCTGGAGCATATAATCACACAATTGGTGGCGTGGCGTCATCAGAAGGATTAGTTGCAGTAGAGCGATGAGCACTGCTTCTGATGCCTCTTTCACTTCTGCTGTTATCTGCAAACTTCAAGCTTCCATGGTGGGACCCTTTCTCTTGTTCCTCTGGGCTCCACTCAGACAGGTAGTAATCTTCTTCTGAAACTCTCTTCGACGACGATGGCCCACAAAACATGCCGCCCCATTGTGGGAAGTATATCAGACATATTGGGAGTGTACAACATATGATCATCAAGCCCATTAAGGTAATACCAGTTTCCTTTGAGTATTTCGATCCTGTGAAGAATATTAACTGTGTTAAAACTGCACCCACATTTCCTCCGCCTCCTGTCATTCCAGATATGACCCCCAATGACCTGAAACGTATATACATGCAGAGCAAGTTATTAGGATGGACTGGATAGTAATTTTAAGCACTTAGTCAATATAGCTCTCTGTTTATATGATGAGACTAGACCAGAGGACTTTGTTGTCCGCATTAACTATTAAGAGCACTGCAAGTGAAGTGAAAAGAGAGAAAGAGATTGGTGGAGTAACCTATAAGGAATCTAGATTCTCAAAAGCGCAATTTAGTTGAAGTGAATATAGAGAAAAATTACAAAGAGAGGTGAGATCTACTTTTATTACAATAAATTCTGTATATAGAGGTCAGCCCCACTTCGAAAGATTATATTTAGACTTTAATTCTCCTTTTACTTTAGTTGAAGTGACGTTACAGAATTTTGATGTATTGAAATATCTTGCCAATTGATCCCACAAATCAATTATCTTCACCCTTGTCAAAAACAGGGTGCAGAAAGCAAGTGTGGAATATGTGCATGTTAGAAAAACACATTCATATTCAAACATTTTTTCAACAAAAGTAGGACGACTTTGCTAATATATAACACCGTATATGTTCCACTTCGGTCAGTCAAATACCTCTAATCTGATGGGTCCCTTCTTCCTAACAAGTTAAACTTACTAAATCAGAAGTTTCGTAATAATTTTTCTTTTTTAAGGAGAATCTAACAGCTTAATCGACACCTAAAAAGTTTTACATAGGAGTAAATAAATCTTTGAACTGATAATAAACTATGGGGAAAAGGAAAACGTACCTTCTTGAGACAAAAGGAACCACCCCAAATGTCATCCCACAAGCAGCTTGAATAAATATAGAGAATATGATCATGACAATGATGGATACTGTTAAAGATGCTACCTTTCCAAGAATTACACAGAACACACCTCCTAGGGTTTGGCACAGCCATAAGGCCCAAAGCCTACCTCTCATTCCAAACCTCTTCCCCACTAAATCTGATATATAGCCTCCTCCAGGTCGAGAAAATATATTGGCTAATCCAAAGCTTGCAGCAATTAGTCCTGCTGTATGAAGTTTCAGATTAAATCTGTCATAGAAGTACTCAGCTATGATATTATCTATTGCTAGCTCTACCCCAAAGCAATATCCATAAGTCAAAGCCAGAATCCACCCTCTGTAATTTGAGATCCCAAAGAAAAGAACTCTTTTCAAGTCATCCTTTGGCTTTTCCCCAGATTTCTTCAAGTTATGGAAGTTCCCATCTGGCAAATCCTGGCCAAATATGAACACTGCAAATGCTGTTAACATCTGAAATATCGCAGGAATGAAGAACGCTATTCGCCATGCTGTGAATTTGACAGCACCAATATCACGAACGATTGCAAATACAAGAGGCATAACAAGCTGTGTGGCTCCTCCTCCTAGGTTTCCCCATCCAGCTGCAAGTCCATTGGCTGAAGCAACGACTCGAGTAGAGAACATAGAGCTCATCCAGAACTGAGTTGAGACGAAGGTGGATAGTGAGAAGCCTGTGAAAAAGCGAACCAGAAGGAAGGAGGTAGAAGATGAGATAATGGAAGAACAATAAACTGCTGGTACTGTCAGGAGAATGAGAGAAGCAGAAGCAAGACGAGGGCCAAACAAGTCACACACAGTGCCCATAGCGATTCGAGCGAAAACTGCACCAGAAACTGATGCAATCCCAGCATTTCCAATGTCGGTGGCTGTGAGGTTGAGATTATCACGAATGAGAGGAAGGAGAGGAGGAGCAGCGAAGCTAGAGACGAAGCAGGCGAAGAAGGAGATCCAAGAAAGATGGAAGGCTCGCATGTGGGGTTTAGCCACTGAGAATAATCTGAACTCAGTTGCCTTGTGTTCAGAATCCACAGGAAGAGCGAATTTTCTCAACTGAGACTCAACTGCAGAATCTGAAATATCCATTCTTTGCTCTTTCGACTGCAGGATTTGTGATACTCTGATCTCAGATAAAAGTGGAAAAGCGCATTATATAGACATTGGAAAACTAACACAAAGATGACTTCTCACGAGTTAGAAGGCTTCATGGCGACGCGGCTCATTGTGCGTAAGTAGTTTCAGACATGGAAGAGACCAAGAGGCTGAAAATTAATTATAAAGAAAGTGAGGAGGGAAGCTTGAATCGTGCACCATCTTAAAAGAGTTTTTGTCACCGTAGAATTAAAGACAGATCATTGAAGTTGAAGGAGGCAAGTTGAGGCGTGCATTGACTTTGGAGAGTCTATAAGAGAATAAAACAAAAACAACACATTCATTAATCGCCTCACTTGCACATTTCCCTGTCGATATCGGGGTCATCTGCCCTCAATTAAATGCCCAATTTGCCCTTATATACTTCTGTGTAGTTATTTCCAAGCTCTCTCACATCTAACGTATCATTAATAATGTCCTTCTTTGTATTTAATGAAAAAATTATTGGGATATCCTACATTCCTATGTAATGAGTATAAGCTCAACGGAAGAGCCAAATTTCAAAAGATTAGTTTATTATAAGGAAGAATGCATTAAATTTATGAATCACACAATACTTATGAGATTTCTCTATGTGGAACTTATAACAAAGCACACCTTTACTCAGTCTTCTTACCAGTTAAAACCCTTCGCAGGTGGCCTTTTCTGGTTCATCGACTTTCAATGAAAGCACCAATATGATGAGCATAAACCTAAAAAAAAGCTCAATCCTAAAATACTAGCATATTAAGAAGGGAACCCTTTAAACTTATAAACCCCACAACACTTATGAGATTTTTTTAATATGGGACTCATAACATCCTAGCACGCAAAATCGGGTATGTTTAGACAAGGACATGTGAGTAAATAAGTGTTCGTTGTTTGATATATTTAATGGCTGAATTAAATTGGTTTTGCTGGGCAGAATTGATGGCGTGAGAGAAAAATAAAGGCGGAACTTCATAAGGGTACATGGGTAATTTAGAAAGATTGGCAGATATTATTTTATATAGTAAGAATATGTAATTTCCGATGAACGAGGAGTTAGTAGAATATTCAAAGGGAATCTAGTGGATGTTAAATTACTTCGAAGAATCTGTCAAGCAATGGCCGCTATTTGCCCCTTTTTTAAAGAGAAAAAATCTCGTACACTTTGCTTGATATTATAATTTTGCTCTATTATAATTTTGTGATCAAAGGTTAAGATTGAATTATCTCCAAAACCTCAGAACAAGTATATTCTTTCATCAGAAAGAGAATATTTATATTAATTATATTTATAAGTAACATCATTAAATTCTAATAAAACACGTTGAAAGGGATTTATAAACACTATTAGATTAAATTATTTGTCGTGTAATCATGTAGTTTTGTTTTAAGACTACATTAATCACAGTCCCTACCTTGTATCCTTTTTCCCATTTTTTATCAAGCGATCAATTAACCTCAGTTGACTTAGTCATGCATTATTATGCATTCATTTTTGTTGAGAACACTTCCTCTTTTCATGATAAAGAGAAAAGTGGGGGTTCAAGGAACTAGTTTCGGCCGCATACAGTGCTCATCAGGTGATGAGCACCCGGTGCTCATCACCTGATGAGCCATCTGGGTCGTCCAAATCTAATCTGGACGGTCCAGATCTAATATTTTAAAATAATTATTTTAAAATAAAAAAAATTATATTTTTAAAAATGATAGTTAGGAGATTATCTTTATTTTTTTATCCTATACTTATTAAAATAATTATTTTTAAAAAAATAAAAATAAAATTAAAATTAAATCTGGACCATCCAAATCAGATCTGGATGGTCCAGATCTGATGAGCATTGGGTGCTCATCAAAACTGATGAGCACCAAATGCTCTCCACTAGTTTCGATGCTCATTTCTTTGATGAGCACTATAAACTCATCAGATCTGAACCATGTATATCTCATTTGAACGGTCTAGATTTAAAATCTTTAATTAATTATTTTTAAATAGAATAAACTATTTTTTGAAAGAATGATAGTTAAGAAATCATCACTATTTTAAATTCTATACGTATTAAAATAATTATTTTGGATAAATAAAAATAAAAAACAAATCAAATTAGAACCACCTAAATGAGATATGGACAGTTCAAATCTAATGAGCTTATGGTGCTCATCAAATAGATGAGCACCGAAACTGGTTCCGGGGGTTCAAGCACCGCAGCGAAGGGAAGAGATGTGTGTGTATCTATATTCTATAAATATCCATTCAGAATATTTAATTTTCATTCACCTATGTAAGGCAATTTTATCTTTTGGCTTTTAGTGTAAAAAAAAAAATATAACCATATATTTAAAGAGGAAGATAATCATATAAATAAAATAATAACTATACATAGGATTAATTTTTTTTGGGGGGAGGGGGGAAATTATATATATTTAATAATATACGCTTATGAGTGTCAAATTGCGTAGTTTACGATTTACAAGTTAAAATTGTAAAATTTGTAATTTGAACCTCTATGTATTTAATTTTCTTACTCGGAATTTATGGATAAATCTTTTTATTATATTATATTATGTAGGGCATATATATTTTAGAGATTATGAAAGATTTAAATGGAAAGAAGTAACGTATTACAGTTTGTGATTGTGATGACTTGTGTTGGTTGGTTTTGTTTGTTTGTTTGCTTCTTGTCGTGGGATTCACTGGGGGGTTTGCTAGGCTGTTGCAAGTGGCAATTACATTTTCCATGAATGATTAGAATTGGTAGAAATATGGTAACTGTATATTTTAGTAAAAGAATTCGAAAAGTGAGATGCTATAAATTAAAATTAATTAGTGTATATTTTTATTTACCATTTATATATGCCACACGTCGATGTGCCATAATAATTGTAATGACAAACAATGAAATTTTTTTTCATATATAATTTTAGCATATCTTTATATATATGTATTTATATATTTCCTTAATATGAGGAACATAAAAGGTGCAAATTAAATATGAAGTCTGCGAGCATTATATTGTTGTCTCTTCCATGATGTAAGCTAGAGTATGGAGTATGAACCAGTAAAAAAATTATTTTAAAAAAAAAACTGATTGATTTTAGAGGAAACTGGCAGAGATATGACTTTTCATATGAGGAAAGGGCTCAGAAGAGAATCACACAAAACAATACTACAAATTTGTCACTAATTAAACCCATCTTGATGCCAGTGGCGGCAAATTTAAAAATTTTTGTTAGTTAAACAAATGGTCGGGAATTTAAGTTATAGTATATTACTCCGTCCCTTATTATAAGAGCTTTTTAACTAAATTATATGATTTAAAAAATAGTTAAAATTAGTTAAAAGAAATTAATATGTAGCCAATACAGTTTTTTTTTCAAATATATCCCTATATATAAATGAATAAATATGATAGAGTAATAGTGAGATGGATGAAGAAAGAAAATGTGTTAAATACATTAAATTAGGAGTAAAATAGTTAATATTGTATTAAATGCTCAAATAAACTCAAAGAGAATCTTATAAAAAGAGACAAACCTATTCAAAAAATTAGATGATGGACGGAGTAGGTAGGTATTTAGAAGTTTGTTTGTTTCCCATTAATATCATCACAAAAATGTTTGGAAAAAAAAAAGTAATTGATAACGTTACTTTTTTAATACTTAGAGTAAGATCCTTTTTTTTTTTAATAACATTTTATGGTGATATTAAACTGAAAAAAATCTGTATATTTACACCTTCATAAATATGTTCAGGACGAAAATCATCCTAACCTATAAATAAATGTTGTTAATTTCTTGATACGTTTACTTTATGCAGTAGAGAAAAATTGGCAAGTTGGAACTTGGGTGGTCGAGGGGCACGTTGGTAATTTAGAAACCGCTAACCGATTCTACTAAACTACTCCCTCCATTCCTTATTATAAGAGACAAATAATCAAATTACGTTAATAAAAAAACAGTTAAAATTAGTTGAGGATAATTAATATGTAAAAAGTATAATATTTTTTCCAACAATAGCCCCATTAATAAGGAGAGAGTATGAGAGAGAATAATTAAATTATTAAAAGAAAGAAAAGTGGGAGGGAGAGAGAGTATGAGGTGGAGATAAAATAAATAGGGGTAAAATAGAAAATCAATACAAAAAAATAGAGACAACTTTAAGTGTCTCTTATATATAAAAATATGTAATAAGCATCAAATGTCTCTTATAACAAAAACGGAGGGAGTAATGATTAAGATTTTTATTGGCCTGATTCTGTGAATATGCAAGCCAAGCGCGTACAAGCATTGAATATTCAAAGGGATCCCGGGGATGTTACATGCGTCGATGGTATTCATTTCCAATATTAAATTATTTCTACTAATCTGCTAATTATTGCTTGCCACGTGCCCCTTTTTAACCCTTTGAAAAATGTAGTGTACTTCTATAATATTTCTATAATTAAAGGTCGAATCTCTTTGACCAAAAAAAGGTGGAATCTCAGGTTAGAACAGAATATTCAAGGCCCGAAAAGAAAATTAGAACGGAATAAGTATCTATCTCATGGATTAAATTAAACAACACCATCCTGTAGGAGCGAGTCAAAATTTTCACGTTCTACGACTGAGATTAATGTGAAAATTAAATGCCATATTAAATTTTTATTATGTAATGATGAGTTCTTTTAAATTAAGATTATTAATTCGTGTATTTCACGAGTCTCACCTCTATGGGAGAGGGCGACAAAAAAATTGTGTGTATATAAATATACTGCTTGATTATGACATGCACAAGGTGATTATAATCTTTAATTTTTTTTAGTTTAAAAGATATAATAAGAAACTTTTTTAAAATATAATTATATGCAAAAAATTCACTTCTTTTGTTTATGCAAAAATTTTATTTTCCTTAGAAAAATGTATTATGATTATATATTGGTGAAATCGTCCATAAAGAGTGGAACTAGCAAAGATTATTCTAGCACGGCACGTTATGCTAATAACCGTTGACAGTGCGGGCTTTTGTTTTTCTTTGGCCAACATGATTGAAAGAAAACAAATGAGTTGAAAAATAAAATATAATTAAAAATATGCTTCCTTATCGACCTTTATTTCATAGAATAACAAGCTGAGTTTAATTTTTATTAAGTTCCATTTAATCCTATACAGTATTAATAACTCAACATAACTCCATACCATTAATTATGTCTGAACATTGTTGAATTTAATTAAAGTTAGTTTTCTTAGTAACGTTTTAGTTGAGTCATTTTATACTAACTCTAGACTATACATAGGAATTAGTTAGAGATTCAATTAGTTCTAAATATAAGACATCAATCATTTTGTTTCTCATATTTATTTATTTTTTCCCATAGTAATCCCCATGTAGATGATTTCACATGTTAAAAGATTTTCACTCTGATACATATGATTAATAAATGTATAATACTCATTTATTACAAATAATTTAATTAATTTTTTTTAATATTTGTAAATTAATTATCTTAGGAGGTACTAGTATTACATGTTTTGCATTATTACCTCATATCTAGGCATAATCAAACTATATCACATAGTATTGAAAACCAGACTGAATTGCCCAGGTTGGACCGAAAACCGGTCACCTGACTGATCCAGTCAGCTATAAAAACCAGCAAGTGGGTCGACCCAGTCAACCTGACCAGTTTGATGGGTTAACTCAATTATGTCTTTTTTTAAAATCTTTTAATGCTCCTAAAGAATTGTAGATAGGAATATTTTATTGCCATAAATCTATTTTGATATTTTGTTTGAATGAATATTTAGTTATTTTAATAATTTGATACTATATATGATATCAATTTGTCAAGAGAATTATAGGAAAAATGGAAAGAAAACATAAGTGTATAATTATTTTGTTAGAAATTTAAGGTATTAAATTGATATTTAGTCTTTTGTATAGCATGATGAGAATTTAAATTAATTTCTAATTTTTTTATTTTTTACCGGTTTAATTCCGATCTGACCCATTAACCCTTGATCCATTGTCTTGACCGGTTCAGAGACAGGTCTAGTTTTCAATATCTTGCTATATCGTAGTTTACTAGTCACTGAAAATGACATGGGTTTTTTCGTTCACATAGTTAAGACTTGTGGTTCAAATGTTTTGAAAAATTCAGGTGCATTATTTTTGAAGTTGGGGAAAAAATAATCATGTCGTGCGCTGTAAGATAACGTGGGGGAAAATCGTTTCGATGTGTTATTTACAATCATATAAATCCAAAGTATAATATCCATAAAATGAACTTTACTTTCCCATTTAAACTTAACTTTAAATTTAAATAGTTTAACCTAAGTCAAATAATCATTTCATCACTCAACCAATCACTCATATATTAATTAAATACAAACTATCAAATTACTCGAGCAAAAAAATAGTACCATTTCCCATGGAAGCCACTTCATTTTATTAATTTTCTCATCATAGTAGTAATTAATGTACTAGTGAATTCCACAGGTCCATGGAAATTAAAGTAAAAGTGCCTTCCAAAAAATTGCATAAACGACGACTGTGACCCATTGCAATGCTTGAAATCCTACTACATAGATACATCCCTATATCCATAACAAAACCAGAATACTATCACTGAAATTAAACATTATATTCAAACATGTGTTGGGGAGGCCTCATTCGTAGGCTGGGTTGCAGCAGATCGAGATCTCAAGCCTCTTTCACTTTTGCTGTTATCTGCAAACTTCAGGCTTCCATGGTGGGACCCTTTCTCTTGTTCCTCTGGGCTCCACTCAGACATGTAATAATCTTCTTCTGTAGCATGCTTCCTTGGGCCGCAAAACATGCCACCCCATTGTGGGAAGTATATCAAACCTACTACCACTGTGCAGCCTATGATCATTATACCCATTAAGGTAATACCAGTTTCTTTTGAATATCTTGATCCTGTGAAGAATATTAACTGTATTATAACTGCGCCCACATTACCTCCACCTCCTGTCATTCCAGATACGACCCCCAGTGATCTGAAATAATATACGCACCGATCAAAGCAAGTTATTAGCCCTTTTTCGTTGATTCAAACATTCCAATTTCGTGTCAATTCTTTTCTTTGAGACGTGGATCTTACAAATTAATTTACCCTTGAAAATTTGAAGGCAAACTGTTCATAATGAAATGCTTTGAATAGAAAGTTTGAAACTGACTGCAATATGGGGGGGGGGGGGGAACTAATTAATGCCACACCAGATAAATTACGCCGAAGAAAAGGGAAGCTTTTGGTATACATAGGAATAGTAAATCTTTGAATTGATGAGAAGAAACAGTGGGGAAAAAGAAACCGTACGTACCTTCTTGAGACAAAAGGAACCACCCCAAACGTCATCCCTTCGGCGGCTTGCATAAATACAGAGAATATGAGCATGACAATGACGGATACTGATAAAGATGCCACCCTTCCGAGGATTACACAGAACACACCTTGCAAGGTTTGAACCAGCCATAAACCCCATAGCCTACCTCTCATTCCATACCTCTTGGCAAATAGATCTGACATGAAGCCTCCAATAGGTCGAGAAAATATATTAGCTAAGCCAAAGCTTGCAGCAATTATTCCTGCTACCTGCAGATTCAGATTGAACCTGTCATAGAAGTATTCAGCTATGATGTTATTGATTGCTAGCTCTGCCCCAAAGCAATATCCATAATTGATTGCCAGAACCCACGCTCTGTAATTTGAAATCCCGAAAAACAACACTCTTTTAAAGTCATCTTTTGCCTTTTCTCCTGATTTCTTCAAGGTATGGAAGTTCCCTTCTGGCAAATCCTGGCCAAACATCAGCACTGCAAATGCTGTTGACATTTGAAATATGGCAGGAATGAAGAATGCTATACGCCATGCTGTGAATTTCGCGGCACCAATATCACGTACGATTCCAAACACAATAGGCATAAGAAGTTGTGCGGCCCCTCCTCCTAGGTTTCCCCATCCAGCTGCAAGTCCATTGGCTGTACCAACGACTCTTGAAGAAAACATGGTACTCATCCAAAACTGGGTTGAGACGAAGGTGGCTAAAGAGAAGCCTGTGAAAAAGCGAGCCAGAAGGTAGGAGGAAGCTGATGAGATAATGGAAGAGCAGTATACTGCTGGTGCTGTGATGAGAATGAGAGAAGCAGAAGCAAGACGAGGGCCAAACAAGTCGCACACAGTGCCCATTGCGATTCGAGCGAAAACTGCACCAGAAACTGATGCAATCCCAGCATTTCCAATGTCTGTGGCAGTGAGATTTAGGTTATCACGGATGATGGGAAGAAGAGGAGGAGCAGCGAAACTAGAGACGAAGCATGAAAAGAAGGAGATCCAAGAAAGATGGAAGGCTCGCATGTGGGGTTTCCCCACCGAGAGTAATTTGAACTCAGTGGCCTTGTTTTCAGAATCCACAGGAAGAGCGAATTTTCTCTCCTGATGAGACTCAACTCCAGAATCTGGAATTTGAATATCCATACTTTAGTCTTTCGACTGGGGGATTGAAGTATATCCCGTGGATTACTACAAGGAGAACGTGATACTGTATACTGCAAGATTCAAAGATATATATATAAAGTCAGACAGTGTTGTGTTTTTTGTGGAGGTCAGGTTGAAAAGCATTAATTAAATTGAGAGAGATGACGTAAAGATGTCTTTTCGAGGGCAAGAAGGGTGGAAGGAAGATGCTCATATCCTTAATGGCGACGCGGCTCATTGTGCTTAAATGTTTCAGAATTGGAAGAGATACCAGATTATTGAAAATTAATGAGGAGAGAGAGAGAGAGAGAGAAGGATGAGGCGGGTCGAAGGAATTAATATGCAGCATGATCAAGAGGCGTTATTTATCTCACTGTAAAAAGAGATCATTCAAAGAGACAAGTTGAAGTTTGGGGCATGCATTGACTTTGGAGAGTTAGAAAGGATCAATTTTCTGAAGTTTAATTTCATGCATGTAAATATGGATCGATGACTATGTTTGTTTTCACCCCCACACTGTATGGAAAGGAACGCAGAGGAAAGAGGAAGAAAGTAACGGGATGAGATGAAGATGAATTTGATATGGTGACAGAGAGATTGGGAAGAAGAAGAAATTACAGTCACTTATCGGTGAGGGGGTTTAGGGTATTGGGGGGGTAGAGAGAAGAAGAAATCATTTATACTTTTACCTGGATTTACCTTAAAGCATGATTTAACTCATACGGAAGTGCAATATTGTTTTGGCACGTACAGTTGAAAAACGGAGTATTGGTTAAGCATTAAGTATGAATCATTCGTGAGAGTGTTTCGTTGTATTCTGATGTTCCTGTCTGTGTGCGCGCGCGTGTTTTTTTCCCTCACAATTCCCAACCATTCCTTTTGTTGCAAGCGGGAATTGCATTTTCCTCCAATGCAAATACTCCCTATGTTCCTTATCATAAGAGACAAATAACTAAATTACGTTGATAAAAAAAATAGTTAAAATTAGTTGAGGATAATTAATGTGTAAAAAGTATAATGTTTTTTTCAACAATGCCCCTATTAACAAGGAGAGAGAGTATGAGAGAGAACAATTAAATTATTAAAAGAAAGAGAAGTGGGAGGGGGAGAGAGTATGAGTTGGAGACAAAATAAATAGGGGTAAAATAGGAAATCAATATAAAAAATAGAGACAACTTTTAAGTGTCTCTTATATATGGGAACATGCCTTAAGCATCAAATGTCTTTTATAATAAGAAACGGAGGGAGTATATAATAGCAATAAATGGAGTATTAATTAAACATTAATATATGAATCATTATTATTCATTCATACAAGAGTGTGATTATTGGCAATTGCATTTTCCCCCAACTAATGCAAATAATAGTGATAAACATTGAAATTGTCTTTCATGAAAAGAAGCCTTACGACGTAGGAAACATGTTTTTGTTCATATACACGATCTGTTATTGCAATCAAATAAAAACATATAAAACAAGGGCAAATATAGTATTAAGTTTTTGTAGTAGTTGTGAAAAAAGACACACAGGTGTCCTCCCCGGCCCAACGAATTTTGTGTTGGTGACAGACCAAGCATGTCGCCCAGTACTGCAGAATTATTATTAATTGTGTATGTGATTATGTGTGTATATATATTATTATTATTGTTATTATACTGAACTTTGGGAGCATAAGTAATTTGTTGTATTCTCATCACGTCATCAGAGTATGAACATGTTATTGTTGTATTTTTTTAAAAAAAATAAATAAATAATATTGACTGATTCATTCAGAAAGATAATGACTCTTCATGAGTAACAAGGGAAGGAGTGACGTGCTCATGCGTCATGACTTGCTTCCCGACGCCGCGCCTCATTGCCTAACATGGTTTCAGATTTGCAAGAGTAGTAGACACTAGACAGCACTTCAAGATTATTGAGGCATAATACGTACGTTGCTCAATTATTCATTATTCTTCACAACATAAGCCATCCATTGACTTTGTTGGATTTGTATGTGACTGTCCATATATACATATAGGTATATCTGTTATGTAATTAAGTTGCCCAGTTTCTCCTTGTACCTTTGACTTTTGCTTTATATGATGAGGAGTAATTTGACTCCCTAAATAATATTCAACACGAGACCTTCTTTATACACACAACTAAGAATCGAACTCCTAACTAGATGCTTAAGGAGCCCAACTAAGTGCCATCTGTGTTAAGTTTTGTGGTTTATTTCAATCTTTAATATGAAATGTGTTGAAAGTGTTCTTGGAGACTTATCACTCATTCAAAATAGGAAGCACACACCATTCACAGAAGAAAATAGCCAATAATCACAATGAGATCAACATATACTCTTCTGGTCCTAAATATAAGACCCTCGTATACATTATATATATAATGTATATGAGGGTCTTATATTTAGGATCGAAGGAGTAAGTTTTAAGACAAAAAATGATAACAAGTGATAAGAGGAACATACTGCTCACGGTTTTTTAATGATTAATTAGATTGTTCATGTGGGAATGTACAGTGATTTTTCTATTGTTTTACCAACTTGGACGTATGCGTGCATTAAAAGCCACAGCTAAACGTATTTGTGCTTTAGCACCAACTCTGGAACAGTTTGTTGTTACTCATTCCCTTCTTTCTGCAAAAATCTGATCAAAAGATTTGTGGGGATATACAAATTAAAAGTGAAATAGGATATGTTTGGATAAACTAGTTTATAGCCCCGCGCGATGCGCGATTTGTGTAAAGTGTATTGTAAACTAACAAAGTAATTTGATTCAATAGAGGATGCAAATATTTTAAATTGTAAAGAGTAAGTAATTGCGTTGAACACATTAGTAATTAAGGGAAGTAAGTATTTTTAAAACTGCGTTCTAGTAAAAACAAAGCAATTGTGATAGACTTTTTTCGGAAGAGAAATGTGTTAGCAATATCTATTTTATATTATTCCCTGTTGTGTATATGTTTTGTAAACAAATTTTTTAATAAAGATCACCTAGCCCATTCTCTCATTTTGCCATAATTCCAACGAAGTTGCCATTCTAACAAAAATATGAATTTATGTTTTGTAATATTGCGTACTTGGTGACAAAGTTATATTGTTTTTAATGCTAAAGAAGTCGTGTTCAAGTTGTACATGAGGAAGGTTAGGATGGAGTTGAGTTCATAACCTCCTTCATATTTTTTTATTTCAGGTGGAGTTGATATTAGTTATTCTAAAAATTCTGATAGAAAATATGTTTCATAATTTTTATTTCCCACCGTCATTTGATAATATTTTGATTTTAAAAAACTGGATGCTAATAATACAATGACATGGTGTTATTGAGCTACGAGCTATTAAACATAACAAAAAAGATACATCAAAATAATGACTAATGTTAATCACAGAACATGTGGCATAAAAAGAACATAGGACTCAAGTTCTGTAACAACAGCTAGTCTGCTAATGACAATGAACATTCTGAAATATCTCTCTGTATTCAACATTGGTAGTAATGTTGGTTGATTTATTATTCGAATCAACGATCAACACCTTTAGACCATCAATTCTTCTGACCCTTGACATTGCTACATACAGCTGCCCATGTGAGAATACTGGCCTTGGAAGATATAAACCAACATTAGTCATTGATTGTCCTTGACTCTTATTTATGGTCATTGCAAATGAAATAATGAGGGGGAATTGCCTCCTTACCATTGTGAATGGAAGCTTAGTTTCAGATGGATTCATATCCATGCGATGGATGAGGACTTCTTGACCAACACTTGTGCCATTCAATGCTATAGCTTTGATGAAATGTTTACCAAGGAAAGTAGTTTGGAGTCTTGTCCCATTACAAAGACCAGATGCTTGATCAATGTTCCTGATGAGCATGACAGGACATCCTACTTTCAATGCTAATCTATGAGGAGGAAGACCAGAACAGTTGATGGTGTTTAAGAATTCAGTAGTGTATAATTCTTGGAACTCTACGTCTTGATCAGCAGCAGTTATTGAATCTGAGCTGAAGTACTCTACATATTCACCATCAAGCATTGAACAAACATGATCATTTATTTGATCAACCACTTCAATAGTTGGTGCAAGGATTGCTCTGTTGGTCAGATATTCAGAATTATTGATATGGTATTTTAAGTTTGGATAAGTAACAGACACAATGGATTGAATATGATTATCAGATGATTGGATTAGTATCTCACTTGGAATCTCAATATCTGTAACACCTTCATTTGGCAGTCCTATTTTACCTTCACCAACTTGAAGCAACCACTCTGAGAATTGTTGGACTTTCAAATTGTCACCATGATCTCCACTTGATAATAGGCGCATGTTTTTCGTAAGTTGAAACATTCTACAATGATTCCATAGTTCAGATGAATTGATTGATGCATCAACAATATCAGCACGGCCTCCTTTTGGAACAACCGGCAATATTTGTCTAAAGTCTCCACCCATGACAACACACTTTCCCCCAAATGGATGGTCACACTTCATGATATCTTTAAATGTTCTATCAACAGCTTCAATGCAATATCTCCTAACCATGGGAGCTTCATCCCATATGAATAACTTTGTATTTCTAATGAGGTTAGACATTGGTGAGTTGTGTGATATGTTGCACATTGATTCCTCAGTTATATCTATTGGTATTGCAAACCTGGAGTGAGCTGTCCTGCCTGATGGTAATAACGTTGCTGCAATCCCACTTGATGCAACGTTTATCACTATTTCACCTCTTCCCCTAATAGTTGCAGTCAATGCATTCCACAAGAATGTCTTCCCAGTACCTCCAAAACCATAAACAAAAAAGAAATTTTCATTTGGTGAGTCAATTGCATTCAAGATCTCATTGAATATATTCAATTGCTCATCTGTTAAGGAAGCTCTTAACTTATTGATTCAGATCTACAGCTGTCTCTGTCATAGTTCTGCTCCTGCAATAATAAATGGTTCCTCATATCAATATGTGTATCTGTTTTTGGCTTTGGCATTGAAGGGAAATCACTCAAAGATTTCCCGTTCCTCTTGAGTAATCTTTCAATTTCAATCAGTGCAACTTCCTCCTTCTCATCATCAGTTATACTAATTCCTACATGTAATGATAACAAATTAAAGTTTATTAAGATTAATTAATAAGGATGCACCAATAATTAAAAAATATCATGCTATAAAATAATGATAATTTGATAATATATGTGATAGTCATTACCTGATAGTTGTTGTTGAGGTCTGGCAACATACAACATATCTTCAAAAATAAGTTGCTTAGATTTCTGCCAAACTAAAAGTGGTTGTGATAAGCAGTTGCAAAGTAGCATACTAACAAAGAATTTTCTGAGGTAATGTCTAGATGCCCAGATTGAGGCCTCCTTGATTGCATCAATAAATTCTTGATCATCGTTGAGCAAACCAAGGGCATAACATGCAGATTTAAAAGTTGGATGGATAATACCATCGACAGTTCTAATGTCCTCATACGATTTAGGTCCTCGTGCTTTGGTGAGGAGAACCCGCAAATAATAGATCTCTCCCTGTGTTGGTGATGCATGTGCTAATCTCCCAACTGCAAATCCTCGTTGCCTTGGTTTCCATATTCTCTGATTCTTATCAAAAGTATAGTATTGTGGAATCTGTATGTATGTCATTGTTTTTGCAAGCCCACCAGATTTGTTCAAGTCCATCCAGGCTAAGAACATCGATTCTTTCATCCTTGGCTTGTCTAGTAATGATGATACAGATGACTTCCCAGAGTAGTAGACTACTTGCTGTTCTGGCAAGTGAAAGGATAGACGCTCGACAGAAGGATATCTATGATGAATGTCAAAAGCAAATATACGCCATGCAGCTTCACAAGGTGAAACATATCTACAATTGAGATAATGTGATATCTCATCGAATGAAGTTTCTGAGCTACTTGTATCAGGATTGCTGTAAATCCCTGCAACAACTCTGTCATTCCCCTTGCTAATGTACTTGAAAAGGTATTTGACTGCTCTTGACTGGTTTGTTTTTTCAACATTAATATGAGCCCGGAATAATCTAAGCAAATGTGGATTGTAAGGCACAACAAACCTATTATCTAATGGTATGCCCTTTTTTTCTATAGTCCTTCCATCTTTGCGCCTCCTGTATGTAGGGTACCCTTCTTCATCAACAGCTGTATTGTCGACATATTTTTTTGGAAAGTACTTCGAGCATTTTCCATCTTTCATGCAAGGTGAATTCTTGTTAGAGTGTCCACATGGACCATGAATCATGTAATTACCCATGAGCTCATATAACTCAGGATCTAACTCTTTATCTGGTATTTCTGCACATATTAATTTATCCACATCTTCTGGTGTTCTGGGCTTGTCATCATGTTCAAGGAAGAGAATGATATGAGCATGGGGCAATCCTCTCTTTTGAAACTCGATTGTGTATATTTCTGCAGTAATATAAAAAAATAAATAAGATATTACATAACAATTATTAAAAAATCTCATACTTCCAAATCAACCTTGTGAATAATAAAAATGTATAACAGAATTTTATTTTGGAATAAATATGAGGTGGACTTGGTCAATTGATGATTACCTGCCCTAATCTTGCTGAATATTTTTTGTTCCCTAATAACTTTCATGAGAGCATCTAATTTCAATTTAAATATCCTTGATAAAATTTGCGGACAATCTGATTGATTAAGCTCATAATCGGTACAGTAACACTTTACTTCCGGCCAAGCAGGATTACAAGTGAATGTTAAGAATATATCTGGATAACCTGCATATTTACAAATTGCCATTGCATCCTGAAAATTGTTCACCATGTATCTTGCACCACCTGTAAATGAAGATGGAAGAACAACTCTTCTTCCAATCATTGATGCATTTGTTTCACCTCTTGTAATAGCATCAGAGATTCCCTTGTATAGGTCGGCTCTTATTTCCTTTTGATGATCTCTTATGTACTTCAATCGATCACTTTCAACCATTGTGTAGCCATCAACAATAAATTGTTGGAATAACCTTCTAGCATGCAAAATAACAGACTCTTCATTCTTCCTGTTCATCAATCTATATGCTAGATATTCTCTAATAGTCAATTTTTTCTTCTTCCTTGTGTGGTAGAGAGATTGAGTAGAGTGCATAATATTTGGATCATAACCATTATTTCCAAAATGAAATAACAGTGGGTACTGTAATGGTAGGTATGACCTGTGAAATTCATCTATTCGTTTGAGCGTCCCTTGTTTTTCCACAACAATATCTCTCTTGTGATATGATC